ACTTTAGAGGATAACAATGTTTAAATGCAGGTTCATCCTTGGAAAAAAAAAAAGTACCATTCTGATGAGTGATGTTGATAACAGGCGAGGGTATGCATGTGTGGGCACAGGGGGAATGGGAAATCTCTATACCTCCTCTCAATTTTCTTGTAAACCTAATCTGCTCTAAAAAATAGTCTTTAAAAAAATTAAAAAGAAAAAAGCATAATATGATGAGAATACAAGTAAAAAGCACAGTGAGTACTATGAAATTAAAATATAGACCTAACATATGCCAGTCCCACTTTAACTTTGTTTTTGCATTTAAATAATGTATGTAGCACTTTCCTATATGTTTTTTACACATTGAAAACTGAACTTGGTATAACTATGTTATAGGAAACTAGAAAATGTATTCTTTATTTTCCATCTTTGTTTTCTATTATCCCACAAAGTTGATGCTTAAGCATCAAGCTGATTTTATTAGTGTGTGAGAAAAAGCGGATGCAATCTGCAAGGATTCAGATTCCTTCTGTGAAGAAGTTTAAAATTCATTTAATGTTTACTGCTCAGGTATGTAGTAAGTACAGTAGTCCTATAGAAGCAAAAGTGCAGATTTTTAAAAACATTTTACTATAATTGCATTTTTTTTTTTTGCATTTTTACCTGATGGAATTGTTTCTTGTAATAAAACCTTTTCTGACTAAAGACTTTAAAACAAAAAAACTTATGTTGGGATTACATGAGAGAGTGCATGTAAAACATCTTAGCAGAGTTTTGCTAATAAAGAATGGTCTCTCTGTTGATACTCCAGAGTCTCATTCTAGATTATTGGCTTTGGGTGAAGGGCCCTGACGTGGAAGTGAGATTGCCTCAATTGTCAGGAGGGTCTGCTTGTCCTTATAGATTTAGACTCGGGTCTGTGAGCATCTTTCATTAAGCAAGGCCATAGATAGCTTTGTGGTCTCCAGTGTATCAGTGGCACTGAAATAAATGTGAGTTGGATGCACTTTTCTCTTCCTCTGGCTTCCACCACAGCTGCTCTACTAGTTTTCACCCCGTCGTGTGTCCTGAAAGAACTGTGGCATTTTTGAAAGGTCATCAGCTACAATTTTAGATCACTGGGTAACTCGAACTTCTAACATTTAAATGTAGCTGCAAGGGGTATGTTGCTGCACCCAGCTGTCATACTTGGCTAAGATGATGGCAGAAATAGCAGCCTTTTCCTCAGGTTCCTTTACAAGAGAGTAGTTGACTACTTCTAAGTGACACTAATGAATACATCTCCCTCCTGATCCCCAAATTATCCAGTCTTTTGCTCATTTTTCACATCCACAGTGTGCTGGGCACCAGTTCTTCTTGTGGTAGTTGTTTTAAAGCACTGGTTTGTTTGTTTCACTTCCAATCTGTTGTAAACAGATACTTTTATAAAACACAACAAAAAGAATTACAGGACAGGTCAATGAATACATGAAAAGGTGTTCAACATCACTAATTATTAGTGAAATGCTAATTAAAACCACAATGAGATATCATTTCACACTCAGAATGGCTATTATCAAAAACCAGAAAATAACAACAGTTGGCAAGGACGTGGAGACATTAGAACCCTGTGCACTGCTGGTGGAAATGTAAAATGGTGCAGCCACTGCGGAAAAAAGGTATAGTGGTTCCTCAAGAAATGAAATATAGAATTACCATGTGATAGAGCAATTCTACTTCTGAGTATGTATCCTAAGAGAATTGAAAGCAGGGACTTGAACAGATGTTTGTCCAATCACATTCATGGCAGCATTATTCATAATAACCAAAAGGTAGAAGCAACCCAAGTGTCCACTGACCCATGAATGGATAAACAAAACGTAGTATATTTAAAAAAATGGAATGGTATTCAGCCTTAAAAAGAAAGGAAATTCAGAATAATGCTACAACGTGGATAAACCTTGAAGGTATCGTGCTAAGTGAAATAAACCAGTCACAAAAGGACAAATATCGCATCATTCTACTTATATTAAGTACCTAGAGTAGTCAAATTCATAGAGACAGAAAGTAGAATGGTGATTACCAGGGGCTGGGAACTGAGTGGGAATGGAAAATTGTTGTTTAATGGGTACAGAGTTTTGTCCTGAGAAGAGAAAAAAGTTCTGTAGATGAATGGTGGTGATAGTTGTATAATAATGTGAATGTGCTTAATGACATTGAACTGTACACTTAAGAATGGTTAAAGTGGTAAAAATAAGTTGCTGGGAAAATGAAATAAAAAATAGTTACAAAATATAGGCCCCAATTGTTTAGTGTTAGATTATAATTTCATTTAAGTTTAAATTATATTTTATTGTTAGATTTAAATTACATTTTAAAAAATAAAATCAGAACAAACATAACATAGGAAAACTGCTATAGAAATCTCTAAATACTTTCAATTTTTCTACTTACCTCATCATGGACCAGTATAATTTGCAGACTGTCCATGATCCACTTATATTTTGTTTTACAGTAAAATGACTTTTTAAAAATGTACAGTTCTATGAATTTTAACACATATCAAGTCACCATCATCATAATCAGGATATAGAACAGTTCTATCAGGTAAAATATTCCTGTTTTCTGTTTGCTCCCCATATTCCTACTCCCTGGCAACCATGGAGTTGTTTTGATCTCTATAACTTTGTTTTTATGAGGCTATCATATAAATGAAATCATACAGTATATATTGTTTTGAGACTGGCTTATTTCAGCCAGCACAGTGCCTCTGAGATTCATCCCAGTGCTACATGTGAAAATAGCTTGTTCCTTTTAATTGCTGAGTAGTATTCCATTTTATGGACCTACTACAATTTATCCATTCACCTTTGAAGAACATTGGGTGTCTGTAGTTTCTGAGAATTATAAATAGAGCTGCCATAAATATTTGTGAATGCATTTTGTGTGAATGTATGTATTTATTTCTCTAGGGAAGATATGATGGTCCACTCTGAGTGGCATTGCTTTGCACCATCGTGAGGGAAACCCTTAATCAGATGACAATGTTAGATTTCAAACGGCACCTGGAAACCAATCAACCAGGCCACTCTCTTCATCTTGCAGTCATTCGCTGGCCCAGAACTCCTAACAGCCAGTCACAACTCCTTCTATAATTATGTCCGAAGAATTGTGGTTGATCTCTCATGAGAAAGACAAAACTTAGTTATTTATTCATGGCAACATGACTCATCAAGCTCAAAGAAAGTTCCATTCTACAGTTCTCACAATTCCCAGTAGCTATAGAAAAAGAGTTTTCTGGTTATATGCTGGTGATGTCCAAAATTAAACTGTTGTGATACAGCAGTTCTTCTAGAGCTGCATCTTACTGAAGCCCTTGCATAAGTCCATGTACAACGATGAGGAAGCTGGTTGCAGCATTGTTTGAAGAGCACACATTTCCAAAATAATTTAACTGTCCATGCACTGGAATGCAGTGCTTTATGTGTACCGATGCGAATGTATTCCCAAGGTGTCTTGCTAAGGCAGACACTGTAGATGGATTGATCCAACTCTTGCAGCGAGAGATCACCATATGATACAGATCTAGCCAATTCTATGTAAGTGCAAGTCTACTGGGGTGGGGGCAGGGGGTGTGTTCTGGGGAAATTTTTCTTTCCTAATAAAAGGGAATTGACGCAGTCGGAGTTGCATTTTCTCTTCTGTATAAGTCTTCAGTGTGGGCTAGAATTTCAGGGCTATGTGGCCATTTTGTGCCCATGAGATGACAAGCATAGGGGCAAAAGCCAGCAGACCAAGGGTTAGAGAAGAAATAGAGGTCCCTAATGGAAACTTTGAATAGCTAAATAAATGCTAACAGCCACCTCTAAGTGGACTCATGAGAAAATATAAGAAAAATGAATCCTCACATATTTAAATTGCTGTGAGTTTTCTATTACTTGCAGCTAAACACATTCTGATTGAAAAAACTGTCAAAGGAAAAAAATCAAATTGCAGAACAATGTGCATATTCTACTATTTTGTAAAATGGAATTATATATGTATACATAATAGTTAATATACATCAAAATACTGGAAGAGTAATAATAACTAACAAGTATTGAGCACCTATTATGCGCGAAGCACATCTTATTACTTTAATCCTCGCAACTATTCTATAAGGCAGACGTTTTATCATTCTCCCCATTTACAAGTGAGGAAACTGAGGCTTCATACAACTAGCAGATAACCAGCTAGAGATTCAGAGCCAGATCTGTCTGTCCCTAGAGAAAGTGATTAGATCACCCTATGCAGACCCCCACCCATGCTTATTACCAATACAGACCCCCACCAGCTGTAAAGGCAGTTATTTCTAGGGAGTAGGTTGGGGGTTGGGCTTATGGTAAGGCCTTCCACTTTTTCTTTATATACTTCTGTTGTGTTTCCTTTTCAGTAAGCGAGTATTATTTCGTTATAAAACTGAAAATATAGAAAAATTGATAAAATAACCCTGGTGCTAGGCACTGTGCTAAGAAAAGAATTTTTTCTTTCTGATTTGGATATCGATTTTGAATATCCATCCCGTCATGCATGCTTTTTAGAAATAAAAGGCATTCTTTTCCAACTTATATGGAAGAACCCTGGCTAAGAAGTTCCAGGATTGCCATTATAATTACTGTCACCTATACCCCAGATAAGCTATCTGCCAATTTGCCTTCTATAAACCACAAGGGAATCAGGTTCTGCAGTAGATAGATGTGAAAAATCCTTTTCAGTCCTTGAATAAGAGGGTTTTATGGGTCATTTTTTTTAGTGGCTGGATTTCTCATCTCCCACCTGTTACTAAATAGCTGCTTCTTAGGAACTTTAAAGAAAGGAGCTCGCCAAAAGAAAGTAGGTCTGTATCTCTGGGCTGCCTGGTTCTATTTATAGCTTGTGTGTGGTGGGTGCCTTGGCAGCACCGGCCATGCCAGAAGGATTTCCGTGAGGGCTGTCCAGTTACCTCGCTCACGTGATCTGGGGCACTTTTCCTTAAAGATCCTGGGCCAGCTCTGATATCACGGAGCTACAGCTCTTAGTGACAAACAAAGCTTGCTGCAGGGGGAAAAAAAAGATTTGAAAAATTACCCGCCACGATGACAGACAGAAGCCCCTTCGAAACGGACATGCTCACCTTGACCCGCTATGTGATGGAAAGGGGGCGTCAGGCCAAAGGGACAGGGGAGCTCACGCAGCTGCTGAACTCCATGCTGACGGCAATCAAAGCCATCTCCTCTGCAGTGCGCAAGGCCGGCCTGGCCAACCTGTGAGTCTCGGGGATCAGGTGCGGGTGCACAAACCCGCCCAGGTAGAGTGTGGGCAAAGCTGCAGGAGCTAGAGCAGGAAACCGGTCAAAAGCTGTTTGCCTGTATGCCCTAGAAGAAAGCTGCCTTTAAAGTTTCTGTCACGTGGGATTTGATAAAGGGAACTTTGATTTGTTTCAAGAAAGGAACAGAGACATGCTATGGAGGAAAAAATATATATAATTTTTCCAGTTGCCATGCATTATGAAGATAACAAGCTCAGTGGCTTGTTACATTGAAACATATATTGAATTATTGTGACTTGTATTTGCATTCTCGCTGGCACAAAGAAACAGCCAGGAAACTTGAGAGGTCTCCTTATGCCCTTTGCAGATATGAGCATTTTATTGTCACTATCTTTCTCAATATGTTAAGAGCTAGTAATCATTTAGAAAATAACTTCCCAGAGCCCCTGCCTACATCTCCTTTCTCACCATCAAAAGGAGTCTTTTGTTTTTAAAACAATTTTTTTTGCTTCTGCTCTGTGATTCATTCTTTATCCTCTTCTCCACTTGGTGGGCAGGAAGCTGGGAGGTGCTGGGCCTGGAAGGAGGAAATGCACAACATTCTACACTTTGTTCTCTTTGGGGCTTTGTTCAAGCACAGAATAAAGCCAAATTCAGGCTTCGGCTTCTGATCAACACAGCCAAGTGTCCAGTTTAAGTCTGTGATAAAAAGAAGCAGTCTTTCTTTGGGCTTCCCTTTTCATTATAGTAATTCCAGTAGAGGTCCTCTCTGAAGTTGAGGGGGGCCTACTATTATTATTTCTCTAAAATAAAGAAATAATAAAGTCTAATAATTTAAAATACTTATTATTAACAATTTAGTAATTTTTTAACAAAAAATGTGATAGCATTATATAACAAGATGTAATGATCACAATAGTTACAGAATTATTTATATAAGGTTTTGTGACCTAGCAATGGGATCCATATTAAGATGCCTCATGATAGGCTTTTTCTGTGTGTATTGCTATCACTGTATTATTACCTTATTTGGCCAAACTACATTTAAGGACCCTCATGAATGTTAGGTTCAGTCATTTGCCTCTGTCCTACTCTCGCCAGTTATGGGTCCTGCTGAGTGACTAAGTAGTGACTCTGCCTCCTCCCGTATATGGGCCCTGCTATACTTAGTGCCCTTCCCTGCTGTCTGCTGACATCTCAGCATTATTCACCCACATTCATCTGGCTCCTGCTCTGGGCAGAACGCTCGGCTAGGCAGCAGCTGCTGTGGTGGGGTTGTATCAGTTGGCTGCAGAACTGACTCTGTGGCCATTGAGTGTACAGATGAAGTAGACCCAGGAATTTAATAATTAAGGTGTTCATCTGACTTGGCTTTTCCTTCCAGGTGATCATAGGCAATGATAAACTCTTGTTAGAACCTCAGTTTCCTATTTGTAAAATGGAGAGGATACTAATATTGTAATCCTTACAATAACCTAACTTGTAGGTTATTGTAAGGATTAGTAAGTCCATGTGATGATGATTTTGACAGTACCAGTCCTATGGTAAATGCTCAGTAAATGCTCCTTATTACCATAGTGCCTTGCCCAGACCTGGGGAACTTTGCCAGCTGGCTGGTCGATGGCGCAGACAGACCACTAGGTGGCAAGCGCAGCCCGTGGAAACAAGACATCAGGATTCCACATTTTCTGGGGGCGCTGAATTTTCCTTGGTCTGGCAGAGGCCCCACATTCTGCCAGTTCAAAAGACATTCTTTCTATGGCCCCTCTGTTACACTGAAAGTTGCAGCGAGAGAAACTCATTGGCTAGAAATTCCTTTTTTCTAACGAGATGCTGAGATGATAATGATGATGACGATGATGATTTTATATATATATACATATATATATGTGTATATATATGTATGTATGTATATGTATATGTATGTATGTATGTATATGTATATATATGTATGTATGTATATGTATGTATGTATGTATGTATGTATGTATATGTATATATATGTATGTATGTATACACACACACACACACACACACACACACGGACATACACCAAATATATATGTATATATATATATATATTATTTATGCCTAAAGCACCTGGTCTTCCTGGGTGGTCTCCCATCCAAGTACTAACCAGGCCCGAGCCTGCTTAGCTTCCGACATCAGACATTGGGCTTGTTCAGGATGGCATAGCTGTAGACTTGCTGAGATTATTGTAAGAGGACCCCGGGATTGCTTCTCAGAGTGCTAAAAGGTTGCCTGCCCTCTGTCTCAGAGCAAATCTGCTCATGAGAATGAGACTTTCACGTGTTCCTGCTACTTTCCATTTAAGGAGCCTCAAGCCCTTCATTCTTTTGCTTCCTCTGTTGGGAAAGACATTTTTAGGCGCAGGTTGTAGGAAGAAGGGACTAATAGAATGCCTCCCCTGCTTTACTGTCAAAACGGCAGAACACGCCACTTTAAAATGGTCAGGAGAGCTTTAGTGCTAGTTATAATGCTAGAAAGTATTGTCTTTCTAGCATTAATAAAGCACCCCTTTACCTATGCTCTAACTTGGAGCAGTTGTCAGGCAATTAGGCCTCACTGTGAAGGAGCTTCCATTCTTTCTGGAAGAAGGGGTGTGGGTGTGGGTGAACAAAGCAGGACGCCCTGTACCTAGAGGAAGTATGAGAGGGCCTGTCGAGTGTGAGTAAGGATGAGGTTGGTGGGATGCTGGAGCACAAGACAGAGAGACCGTTTCTTAGCTCTGCCTATCATGGGCCTTGGGTACCCTAGCTCTTCATTCTTCAGCAGCAGCCACCTCAATAATCCACATTAAACAAGATTTTGGGTTTGTGGTCCCCTTACACTCCAGTGTAAAATAACCTAGTTTTGTTGTTGCAGTTATTTGTTTGCTTTTATTTTGAACTACAAGCTACACTTTTTGAGGCCTGGCTACTACTATTGTTTTTCAAGGCAGCTGGCTCAGCACATTACATAACAACAGACCATCAGTTGATAGGTAGAGGGCAGTGGGGGAGAGGAGAGGCTGTCAGTCAGAGAAGAGAATGGGAAATGACTTGTCCCCTGTGATGGTAAATCTGTGGTTCTCAACCCTGGATTCCTTCAACCAATAAATGGCAGTAAAAAGGAAGAGGAAGAGAAATTAATTTCCTGGCATTCTTTCTTCATTATTCAGTGAACATGTATTGAGCATCTCCTATGTCCTCAGACACTGTGGAAACAAATACAGTAGCCACACTTCTTGCCTCAGTGAGCAGATAATCCATCAGGAAAGACAATGAATGCTATGAACAGATCATGAGCCGCTTTGGATTTGATTTGGATTTGGATTAGGGGTGTGCCTGGTGTGTGGTTGGAACATGAAGGGGAACCAGGGAAGCTTCCAGAGTGGGTCAGGAGGACCAGAAGAAAAAAATCTTAGAGTGGGCAGGGAGCATTCTTTTCGCGGGAGCACTATGAGTGAAGGTGAAAAAGAAAGGAGTAGCTGGCTGAGTGCCGGTGGCCACAGGACCTTAGTGGCTGCTGAAATGCAAAAGGCTTGAGCAGGATGATAGCCACATGGCACTAGGAGGGAAGAGTGTGGAGGGCAGGGCAGCAAACCCAGAGGTTGGTCGTAAGGCAGGTGTGTGCCCTGTGGGTCTGGAGGCTGAGACTGGCTGAGTGAAGGCGAGAGAAATAAGAGGCAATGCCACTGTGGGAACAGGGCTTCCTGGGTGGAGCCTGAAGGATTCCCATTTCACCGTGGGGACTTGAGAACTCTAGGTGGACAAGAGTGATCTAACTCAAATTTTAGAAGGATCCCTCCCACAAGGGTGAAAGCCAGGAGACCTTTACATATTAATATTCTAAAACAGCGGTTCCCAACCTTTTAGGCACCAAGGACCAGTGCTCCTATGAGAATCTAATGCCTAATGATCTGAGGTAGAGCTGAGGCATTGATGCTAGGACTAGGGAGCAGCTGCAAATACAGATGAAGATGAACCTTCGCTCCCTCGCCTGCTGCTCACCTCCTGCTGTGTTGGAGACCCCCGCTCTAAAACACAAAGGCTCTAGATAAAATTTTATAGTAGTGCTCTTTCTGATATTGCTTGAAAAGGTAGTGAAGAACCAAATTAAATTGATTAGGTATGCCCCCAAACTTTCTACTTATTCAAGTAATGCCAAGCTACAGCAGGGCAATTTTTCATTCAGCCCAACGGGCTACTATTTGAGGATAAATAACAAATATTGAAATCCCAGGGCTGGGAAGTCATGGTCCTTAACTTTTTGGAGTCATTAATGATGGCACCCTCTGACTTATAACTCTCTCTATTCACTTCACAGTGCTGAGGGCAGGTCTGTAATACTGTAAGACTGAATTCTGGTTAGCGTATTGGGAGAATAAGGGAATGGGACAGTATCCCCGAAGTGTAAAGGAAGCAAGGTTGACGATCACTGCTGTGGAACATCACATACTTGGTCTGTGCTTATAATTTGGAGACTCAGAAGCCGTGAAGGAAAAGGATGAAACACTAGTTGTGTCTTAGTGTCTGGACTTCTTTTCTGGAGTTCAGGATCCCTTAGTGATGCCATTAAACATTTTTTTTTTCTTCCTAGGTATGGAATCGCGGGAAGTGTGAATGTGACGGGGGATGAAGTGAAGAAACTGGATGTGTTATCCAATTCCCTGGTGATCAACATGCTCCAGTCCTCCTACAGCACCTGTGTCCTGGTCTCGGAAGAGAATAAAGAGGCGATTATCACCACCAAGGATAAGAGGGTGCGTGCCAGAACTTGGATGCAGTTCCATTGGCATTAGATGATGCCAATGAGTTGGGAAGATAGTTGCCTTGCTTTTCTTTTGTTTCTGGGATTTTCCTCTACTGCTTAACTTTCGTTTTCAGGAAAAAAATTTGCATACTTCTTATGCTGTCTAGTAAAAAAAGACTCCATGGCAGGACAGTAGTTTATAAGGAACTGAATCAGAGTAATTTACTGAAACTTCTCAGCGGATGGGGTTTATGCGTTATCACTTCATGTTCCCAGTAACAAGTGCTGGCATTTTAGGGAACTTTAAAATCATCAAGTTCAGTAAAAAGTAGAGGTTGCTAGTAGTGCTGTATCATACATCTTTTACTCTTCCCCTTCCCACTTCTACTCAACCCCTCCTCACCCTGCACATACTTCCTCAAGGGGGATTGTGGTTTCAACAGAGATTTCTTCATTCCAGACTAATATAGAAAAGAAATCACAAAGATGATACATTCACTTGCCTAAATATAGTAGTAAACTTGGTTAATTTAGGACATGGCTGGGAGGGTCCATATTCACTATGGTTTTATGAACAGTTTCCTAAAGAGAGATGTTTGCTGGTGCCCAAAAAATCCAACTCATGGTCAGCTGTGGTACAGTAATACAAAATAAATGCTGAGACTATTGGCTCTTGATTTATACATTGGGTGTTGGAGACAAAGTGCCATTTCTTTATAATCAGGCAGTAGTACAGAAAAGGTAAAGCCAAATTTACTAAACACCTACAGTATGCAAGGGACTGTGCAAAATATTTTGCTCTTCTTGTCCCACATAATTTCAGCTAAATCATGCCTATTATTTTCACCTTTTGATTCCCACTGATATGACCTTCAATTATCTCTCTCATCTAATCTATCATTTCCTTTCCCAGTTGGCCTGAGCTACACAGGTCTTCATGCTAGTTCTTGAATACCCCATGCCTGCTCCCATATCAGCTCCTGAACACTTTCCAGCATATGCTAGATGCTCACCAAATATCTGTTGAATGAATACATGAATAAGTGAATGACTTAAGTTGGATTAACCACAGGGAGAATCGGAAATTTCCAAGTTTATGAATTATTCCACTTTTTTTATGCCCCCTACCCCACTCACTCCTGTTGAGCAAGAAAAAAAGGAAATAAGGCTCAAATTAAGCTAGGGCATTACTCATTGGAAAGTCGGTGAAAAGTAATTTTAGTGGTGGAAGAAGTGACTCCCATTTTACTTCGTTTTATTACCATGCATAATTAGCCAGGAGACTCCAGTCTCCATCACTAAGACTCTCAGAGGGCCTTGCACAAAGGAGACTTTTTAAAAGTATCTGGTGATTTCTTTCCGTGGAATGTTGGCGAGAGTAGCTTGTGACAGCAACATGGGTGGGTGCGAGGAACACGGTACTGCAAGACCCCACCTGCTCTGTCTTCTGGTCTTCACATCAGACAGGTGGGTTGGATGCAGCAAAATTTAAAAGAATATTTTTATTTTCCGGAGGTATCTATGCATACCAGCTCTCTTAATAAGACAAATGCAGAGGCCCTGGAGTATTTCTCTGAGATTTTCTGAAAAAAATTTTTTTTCATTTGGCAAAAATGCTCCAAAGTGAAAAAAGCCTATCTGGGGAGAGGCTCAGAAAGATAAACTTGGAGCACGTTCAAGTTTATCTTCAACTTGCCTGCCTCTTCATTGCAAGTGCCCATTTCAGACCTGGTTGCCTCTCACACCCTCAGCAGCTCCAAGTCCCTGTGGGCCCTGGTAGGAGAGAGGGTGGTGCCAGGAGAAGCAGGAGGAGAGCTATTGCGAGGCAGTGGGAACTTCATTGCCCTGTGAGGGTGTCAACTCTCTGTTATGGTGATGTAGGCCCTGAGCTGCATAATTCATTTATGCTGAAATGCTCTCCCCCTTTATGTAATTGCATTTTTTCATAAGGATGTCCCCTTTCTCAAAATCACTTTTTAGTTTCATGTTATCTGCTGTGCACAACCACTTACATAGACTGTGTTGATTGGAAGGTGACCTGATCAGCGGTTCTTCTGTCTGTGTATTTAGGGGAAATATGTGGTCTGCTTTGACCCACTGGATGGATCTTCCAACATTGACTGCCTAGCCTCCATTGGAACCATATTTGCCATCTATAGAAAGGTGAGTAAACAGTCTGATCTTTACTGTCTCGTTCCTCTGGTGGTTTCTGGGCTAGGAGCCACGAGTCTGGATTTCTAACCTCTGTCTTCCCACAAAAGCAGACAGGCCACCATAGACAAATCATGAACCTCATTTTGCCTTGGGCTCCTCATTGGAAGAACTGAATGGATAAATTTCCCTCTGCCTTCTTTATAATATCTTTACCTTGTGAGAAGGTAAAGATGGAGCCTTGTTTTGAAAACCTGGATGCCACACAAGCATCAGGCAAGGTATTAGGTTCCAGGTGGCATCTGAAGGGCCCTGTTTCTTCCTTATGTATCTGAAATCTGACTGCATTATTTTTCTATCATTGCCATAACAATTTACATTCAGAGCTTAAAACAATACCCATTGATGATCTCCCAGTTCTGTAGGTCAGAAATCTGGCAGGTGTGTCTGGGTTCTCTGCTCAGTGTTTCCTAAGGCCAAAATCTAGGTGTCAGCTGGTGGGGGTCTCCTACTGCGAGGCTGGAATGTGTGTGTTGAGAATTCATTTCCGAGCTTACTTAGGTTGTTGGCAGAATTCAGTTCCATTCTGTGGTGGGATAAAAGTCTTTGTGTCTTAGCTGGCTGATGCTGAGGGTCATGCTTAGCTTCTAGAGGCTTCCTGTATTTCCTAGCTTGTGACTCCTATGTCCTCGAAGCGAGCAAAGGCAGGCCACGTCTATCTCACACTTGTCTGTCTGAGACCCTCACTTTGCCTCATTGTGCCATATCCAGCCACAGAAAGTTCTCTGCTTTGATTGGATTTGGGCCCACTTGGATAATCCAGGTCAATCCACCAATTTTAAATTGATAACTCTAATTATATCTGCAAAGTCCCTTTTGCCAATAATGAAATATTGTCACAGATTCTGAAGATTAAGATACCTTTGGGGGCCATTCTACCTACCCCACATACCTAATAACAGACAAGATCTTATTAGTTGGCTTATGACCATCCAGAAACTTCAAGCCAGACCACATAATCCACACCTTACCTCAATCTGAGTATTAGTCTTTGCTCCAATCAGGATGGCAGAGTCTTTGCCCTTGCGGCTTTTAGGCAGAAGGAGGCCAAGGACACTCGAAAGTCTCAAAGATTGTTCAGTTGGGTAACCTGCCCTCTCACTGGTTTTCAAGGCCCATCTCTCTGGCTCCATAGCACACACTCTTTCCTCTAAAGTATTTATGATCAAACCAAATGTGGGTATCCCTTATTTTCTATACTACCAATTTAGCACTAATTTTGTAATTGTGTGAAATTAACTTTCCATGTGTGTCTTTCTTAGTGCTCCTGGATTATAAACTCAGGAGAGGATTGGGTATGCCTCATGTCACCTCATATACTGTCTGTAGATATTGATAATGCAGTAGATAGTTTTGCTTAGCTGAAAGTTGTCTTAAAAAAAAAGGCAGGGAGCAAAAGCTTAGCAGAAAACTAACTTTAGCAGAATTTGTGAATTAGCCTAAACTTTCTTTTTAAGAAGAGCAAGGAGCAGACGAGTGGTCTATTCCTCCTGGAGAACAAAATGGAAACGAAGTTGGCTTGGGCTAGAGGAAACTCTGAGGATGTTGCTTTCCCAGTTGGTGTTTCTCTCTTTTTCTTTTGAAGAGAGGAAAGGAGACTTTCATTGAGGGAGCAGGAGAAAATGACACAAAACACTTTCTCCAGTATCTGAGAAAGTTAAAGACTAAGATGATCTTTCAAGTTTATGCAAAAATGAACTAGGTGTGTAAAAGTGCTTTGTTTCCTCCTGAGGTTCAGCTTAGAGATAAAAATAAGAAGATAGCCAGTGTGATATTTATGAGAGTCTGAAAAAAGATGCACAATTATATCTTTGAGTGGTTAATATTGGTGTTTTCATCATGGCTCTTACTCTTAACTGCTGAGCGTGAGTCAGCCACTGCTCTACCCACCTGTAAGCACAGTGTTCCTGGGTCAGTCCTCATCTCAATCCCAAGAGGTAGGTACACATACGACTGTCACCTTTTTAAAAACTGGTGAATAAATGGCAGCACAAAGAAGGGAAGTAACTTGAAAAATCCTCAGTCAGTGCATGGCAGGACAGGCTGTCAATAGCTTCTCTCTGTTCCCCTAGTTTTATTGAAATATAATTGACATACAACATTGTATTAGTTTTAGGTGTATGACATGTGAAATGATCAACATAATAAGTTTAGTTAACATCTATCACTTCACATAGCTACTCATTTATTTGTGATGAGTATTTTTAAAATACACTCTCATAGCAATTTTCAAGTATGCAATACAGTATTATTAACTATAGGCACCATGTTATATATTATACTCCTAGAATTTATTTATCTTATAACTGGAAGTTTGTACCTTTTGGCCACCTTCACCTGTTTCCCCCTTACTCCTTGCATCTGGCAACCACCAATCTGTTCTCTGTTTTCATGAGTGTTTTTTTAAGAGTCCACATATATGTGAGATCACATAGTATTTGACTCTCTCTGTCTGATTTATTTCACTTAGCATAATGCCCTCCAGGTCCATCCATGTTATTGCAAATGACAGATTTCTTTTCTTTTTATGCCTGAATAATATTCTATTGTATATATACATACCACACTTTCTTTATCCATTCATCCACTGATGGATACTTAAGTTGTTTCCACATCTTGGCTATTGTGAACGATGCTGCAGTAAACATGGGAGTGCAGGTATCTCTTCAACATAGTGTTTGCATTTCCTTCAGATACATTCCCAGAAGTGGAATTACTATATCATATGAAGATTCTATTTTTAATTTTTCGAAGAACATCATACCGTTTCAACAGTGACAATGCCAATTTACATTTTTATCAACAGTGCATAAAGATTCTCTTTTCTCCATACCCTCACCAACACTTCTTATCTCTTGTCTTTTTGATGACATCCATTCTAACAGGTGTGAGGTGATATTTCACTGTGGTTTTGATTTACATTTCCCTAATAACTGGTGATTTTGAGCACCTTTTTATGCATCTGTTTATCCTTTGCATGTCTGCTCTGGAAAAATGTTTGTTTAATTCCTTTGCCCATTTTAAAACCACATTGCCTTTTATTTTATTTTATTTTTTTTGCTATTGAGTTATATGAGTTCTTTATATATTTTGAATAAACTACATACAGAAAATATTTTTTCCATTCTGTAGGTTTCCTTTTCATTTTGTTGATGGTTTTAATAGCTTCCTAAGGCCAACTAGTTTATAAACAAAGAGGAATAATGGGGGAGGCTGCGTGCGTGCTGGGGGAAGGGAGGATATGGGAGACCTCTCAATTTTTCTGTGAACTTGAAACTGTTCTAAAAATACAGAGTATTTAAAATGAAAAGAGGAATATTATTAAACATATTATGGGAAATTCACATTTGAATTTAGACCATTTTGAACATGGAGATTTTGCCTTAAAGTTAAACGAAGCACAGGCTTTGAAAGCTAGTCCAAATAACCATAGATTTTCTCTGATAATATTTCTAAAGAAGGGGGCGAATTTGAGAAACTAATAAACCATTTTTAGAATGGAAATTGTAAAAACGAGAAATGAAAAAATTTTTTGTTATGCTTCAGCAATATCTAGTAAGAAAGTAGCTCACTTTTGAGACCTCATGGGGCTGTCACAGCATCTTAGAAACATGCCAAAACCAGGATGATGCCCATTCATCCATTGGTGGACCAGGACTTCTGGGATTCTCTGATAAGCACCAAGAAAGAAGTTTTAGAATAGTCAAGAACTGTCAAAGTTATCTTCTTTCCTTTAACTTAAAGGAGCAGTGCTAAACACCAGATACAATTTCTCACACTATTTTCAGCCCTCTGCCTTTTGATTTTCCTTTTTCTTGAGGATGACATTTTCCCTTTCCAACAAAGTCATAAATTAGACAAAGTAAAAACTCTCTTGCTACAAAAAAAACATCAAGGACTGCTGGATAGCATATATCATGTAGGCATTTAAATGCATAGCTAAACTCATTGAAATGAACAAGCAATAAACACAAGGTAAGTGGAAGGGTCCAGAACCACAGGAAACTGAAAATCAAAGTGCTAAAGAGAAGTACTGATACTGGAGTTGTCCTGATGGGAGGAGTGGGCCTTGTTGACCTGAATAATCTAAGGGTGTGGGTTTTAACACTCCTTCAGGGTCAGGAAACTACCTTCTGCCATTATTATGGTTAAGTAGACCTCCCTTAAAGTCTACTCTTTTATTGACATCAGGATAGGAAGACCAATGGAACACAAAAGAGAGCCTAGAAACAAACCCACATATGTATGGCCACATGACTTATGAAAAGACAACACTGAAGTTCAATTTATATGGGATGATATTTTCAATAAATGATGCTGGGCCAACTGTATGAGAAAAAAATGAACCTGAGCCCTAACTCATACCACACGCAATGATTAATTAAAGAAAGGCCAGAGATTTAATTGTAAAAGAGTAAAGCTATAAAGCTCCAGGAAACAAAAAACACAAGAGAGTATCTTCATGCCTTTGGGGAAAGTAAAGATCTCTTAAACAAGACACAAAAAGTAGTAATCATGAAAGGAAAGGCTAATAAACTGGACTTTATTAAAATTAAGAAATTTGTTCATCAAAAGACAAGATTAAGAGAGTGAAAAGGCAACCCCAGACTGATAGAACATGTTTTCAATACATATATCCAACAAAGGACTCATATACAAAATAAATGAAGAACTCCTATAATTCAATAAAAAATACTGTCAATCTAGTTGAAAGAATGGGCAAAAGACTTGAATAAGCACTTCAAATAAGAGATTTTTCTCCCACTTGATTAATGAGCGCATGAGAGATGCTCAACATCAATAATCATCAGGAAAATGGACATAAAACAGTAATGAGACATCATTCACTCTTACCAGAAAGGCCAAAATTAAAAAAAAAAAAAAAAACTAACCGTACCCAGTGTAGATGAAGAAACTGGAATTTTTACACATTGTTGGTAGGAGTAGAAAATGACATAAGCACTTTAAAAAACTTTTGATAGCACTAATTAGTGCTAAGCATATATTTATACACTATGGCCCAGCAAGTCTACTCAGGAACCCAGGATAGATGAATGTTTGTGTCTGCCAAAAGATGTATACAAATTATCCTAATATCTCCAAACTGAAAAAATTCATATGTTTAATATATATATAACATATATATATGTCAACATTAGAATAGATAAATTGTGATATATTCATGCAACAGAAAACCACATAGCAATGAAAAAGAACAAAGTACCGCTATGTGCAACAACATAGATAAAATTGCAGAGACATAATGTTCCAAAACATAAGCCAGATACAAAAGAACACATGCTTTATAATTTCATTTATATGTTCTTCCAAAACAGGCAAAGCTAATTATCCTTTTGATGTTCAGGTGATAAAAGCCAGAATAGATTGAGGCTACTTTTGGGGGAGATAAGAGAGTCTGCTAGGTTGCTAGAAATGTTCTCTAAATTGATCTTGGTAGTTACATGAGTATATACTATGTGTATGTAAAAATTCATTGAGCTATACAATTAAGTTTCGTGTGCCTTGCTAAATGTAAATCATACCTCAATAAAAGTAAAATACTCTACTTTCCCAGGCCTTCTACCACCAAACATAGTAAGCCTTTGCAATTGTCACTAACTTTACTGATAAGTGACGATAGGAAGCACAATTTTCTTCACATGTGACAAATTTAGATATTTTTATTGTTTAGAGAAAAATAAAAATACCTGAGAAAGATAACACTAAATTCTTTGTAAACTACTCTGAGATTTTCTGTGAAGTGTCTCAGCAATGGAGATTACTAATATGAGGTGGAGTTTTGATGTCCTAGGACCGTATTGGTGGAAAAAATAAAAGGTTAGCCCTTTTTTTTATACATGGAAATAAAGTACAAATGGATTAACAAGTTTGGTGGAGAGGTGGGGACAAAATGAGGAAAAAACATCGAAGAATATTTTATCTTGTCTTGATGTAGATGAAATTCTGTCTAAACACAAAGACAAATAATAAGGGCTGTAATGAATAATTTTAATTACAAAAAACTGCATTGCATAAAAAGATGCTGTAAATAAAATTAAAAGGCAGATGACAACCAAGGAAAATATTTGCAACACATAGTAGGCACTAATTTTTCATATGTAAAGAACTGTTAAAATAAACAACAAGAAGATGAATACTCTGATAGAAAAATAAGCAAAGACATGAAAGAAGCAACTGAAAACAAGAAATAAAAATGGTTAGCAATCAAAACACATGCGGTAGCTGAAAGGATGAAAACACAAGACGCACCTAAATGTTGCCTATATCTTAAGTTAAAGGTTTAAATGTAAAACGTTCGAATTTTTACAATATAGCATGAGAGAACATCTTCAGGAACTAGTGTTTGGTGCAGAGTTCTTAAACATAATACCAAAAGCACTATCCATAAAATAAAAAAAAAGATAATTGGACTTCATCAAAATTGAAAACTTTTGCTCTGTAAAAGACTGTGTTAAGAAGATGTGCATACAAGTACAGAATGAGAGAAATATTTGCAAACCATATATCTGACAAAGGACATATCTAGAATATAAAAGAACTCTCAAAACTCAACAATAATAAAAAACTCCAAACAATCCAATTACAACATGGAACAAGAAAAGACATGTCATTGAACTGGTAATAATAACTTTCTTGGTAAATAAGAATATGAAAAGATGATCAACATCACTACCCATTAGGGAAATGAAAAATAAGACCAAAATAAGATATCACTACACACCTATAAGAACACCTAAAATAGAAAATAGACTATACCAAATGCTGGCAAGAATGCAGAGAAACTACAACTCTCATGCGTTATTAGTGGAAACATAAAATGACACAGCCATTCTGGAAGAGTTTGACAGTTTCTAAAAGAAATGAAACAAAACATTAAAGCAACGCTTTCACATACCATAGGACTCATCAGTTGTGTTCCTGGGCGTTTACCCAGAGAAATGAAGACTTATGTCCACACAAAAATCTGTACATGATTGTTCATAGCAGCTTTATTTGTAACAGCCTACAACTGGAAATAACCAAAATGTGCTGCAGTAGGTAAATGGTTAAATAAATGGGGATATATTTATACCATGGAGAACTACCGAGCAATAAAATAGAAGAAACTATTGATACATGATACAAATCTGATGGACCTCAAGGGCACTATGCTGAACAAAAAAAAAAAAAAAAAATTAACGTGAGGGTCTCCAAGGGAAATAGGCAAAAAAAAAAAAAAAAAAAAAAAAAAATTCAAAAGATCACAAATGATATGATTCCATTTATGTGACATTCTTGAAACAACATATATATAGAGATGGAGATCAGTGATTGTCAGGGGCCAGGGATAGTGGGAAGGGAGGCAGTTGTGACTATAAAAGGGTAGCGCTAGTGAGATATCTGTGGTGATGGAATATTTCTGACTAGACTTAGTGATTGAGTGGAGGCTGTGGGTGAAGGTGAGGAGGGTGATTCCCAGATTTCTGCTGGTCAGATGAATGTGCCATTTGCTCAGGTTGGGGGAACAATGGGAGAAGAGTAGAAATTTGGGGAGTGGGTGGTAAGACAGGGCAGATGAATTCAGTCTTTGATATATTGAGCTTAAGGTGTCTGTGAGATACCTGAGCAAGGATGTCTGGTGATCAGGTGGCTCCAAGGGTTGAGGTCTCTATGAAAATAGAGGTCTAGGAGGCATTGGCACCTGTGTAGGGCTTGAAACTATGGTTGTGGGTGAGATTGCCAGGGAGTGTGCAGAATGAGATGAGAAGAGAGCTTTATTAGTCAGAACTCTGGTATAAATGGCAGGATGGACCAGGAAACCCCAACGCAGCGATATGGCCAGCCTCAGAAAGGGCCTAGGACAGAGAAGGATCAGGCTGGGAGAGCTTTTGCCTCCAAAATATCTCATCTTGACTTCCTGCCATGTGGCCACCTGTACTCATTCCTCTGTCTGCAAACCATTGTTTTTCCTGGTTCTTTGGCCAATGGCAGAAGAAAGATGGCACCCCACAGCACCCAAGTTTACAACAACCAGAATGCTCTAGCCCAAACACAGATTTCTGGAACAGAGACTCTGATTGGACCAGTTTGAGGGTTGTTGGGTGCATAACACAAACACAGCAGCTGAGAGTGCCCACTTTGGATAGAGTGGCTATTAGAAACATCCATTTTGCACTGGATAGATACCCTGAGGGATGGGGAGAAACCAGGAGGAGTACAGACATCTAAGAAGAGGAGCTGGTGAAAGCAAATGAGAAGGCACATCTAGAGAGTTAGAAAGAAAGCCAGACAAGAGGGAAGTGGACAGAAGCTCTGGAAAGATGCATTTCAAGAAGGAAACAGTAGCCAACAGATCCAACATTACCTAGAGGTCAGGTAAGAGGAAGACTGGAAAATGGGGGTCAGATTTAGTAGATAAGATCATATCTGGCAGCCTGCAGTGGGGTCAGGAGAAGGAAGATACCCATCGAAGACAGGCATTCTAGATACCAGGATATAGCTGAAGACAGAGATAGGGCAACAGCCAGAGGGAAGTCTTAGGATCTAGAAAGTATAACTTGTTATTTTTTAAGGCTGAGATTTCATGAGTAATTAAAGGCCAGGGGAACAAGCTGGGAAGGAGTGGCTCTCTTCAAGCCATGGTGCAAAGTCACGGGGACCCAGGAGAGGGTGTGACACTCAGCAGAGGCCACAGGATTGCGGCTCAGAGAATGGAAGTCTTCAGCCCGGGAGAACTCTGGTTTCGTACACAGAAAATGTGATCTTTTTGATGACTGAACAAAGGTGTTTCAAAGGATTCAGTGGGGAAGACTAAAGGTTTTAATAATAAAACCCTAATACTATTATCTTTGACTTCCACTTCTCCTAAGGTTCTTAAGAGATCATGCTTTAGAACAGTGGTTCCAAAATTTCAGCTTGCATCAGAATTACCTCAAGGGTTGATTTCAAAGGCCTAGAATTTCTGATTCTAGAGGACTGAGGCAATGCCCAAGAATTTGCGTATCCAAGGATATTCAGGGAATGCTGACACTATGGTCCACTATGAGAATCACTGCTCTGGGGCCTGGTTCTCAGAATCCATATGTGGCCTGGGAACCTGGAAATAAAGCTAAATTATTGAGTGCATGCACAAGTAGAATGAAAATTTAATTAGTTGTAAAAAACGTATTAGAAAAGATGCAAGATTGTAAAAGTAAGGAAAATATTAAAGGGAATGTGCCATTCATTCGTTCATTTATTCATAGTCTCAGGGAAATACTAAAATAATAAAATTATTGAAGGGAAAGTGTCATTTAAAAAAAATCCTTAAAGAAGAATAAGATTTGGTTTTAAAATAAAGTTGTTAGGATGTTACCAGCAGAGAGCAAACTGGTCCCATATTCTGTATGTTGTTAGAAGGATGCTGGATTAGTGACAGATGATGTGGGTTCAGCCCCAGCTAAATTACACACTGGTTTCAATATGTTGTGTAAGTACCTTTCTGACCTCCATCTCTCTCTTTCAGATAATACAAATTATTATTTTACCCTTAAAAGTTATTCTTCAGGAGCATTAAGAAGCCCACGTCTTGGCAAAGGGTTCTCTCCAGAGACAATAACACACCATGTTTCTCTCCTCTCTTCCCCAGACCTCAGAGGACGAGCCGTCGGAAAAGGATGCCCTGCAGCCAGGTCGCAATATTGTGGCCGCCGGCTACGCTCTCTATGGCAGTGCAACCCTGGTGGCTCTTTCCACTGGGCAAGGAGTGGACCTCTTCATGCTTGACCCAGTAGGTGCCCAATATGGCAGTATCAGCACTTGGGACTCTGCGGGCCTCAGTTCTGTAACTCCAGTCCCTAGGGATAATTTCCTGGGGAATGTAATACCAGAGAGTTTAGTTTGGGGAGCCAACACCATCATGAAAAACATTAAAGACCTTTGTTCAAGTGAGAGCATTTGAGGGGTTCTACAGGTTCAGTTATATCCACTCGGGCCCTGTCCTTAAAGAGTTCATTTTCCAAAAATGTGTTTGACCTCTTTGGTTTATGGGGCTACAATGCTTTAAGAATCCCAATGTTGTTCATTGCCAGACAGAAGTGTGAATTCTTTAGAGCAGCACAATCCAATAGAACTTTCTGTGGTAATGGACATATTCTGTAATCTCTGCTGTCTAATAGGGTGGCCTCTGGCCTCATGTGGCTATTAAACACTTGCAATGAGGCTCGTGTGACCGAGGAGCTGGATTTTAAATTCTTATTTTATTTAAATTAACTTAAATAGCCACACATGACTAGTGGCTTCTTCATTGGACGACACGGGTTTGGAGGACCTTCCCTAATCTATATGTTCTTCCCAGTAGGAGGAGCGACTAGTATAAAACTGCTTTATCAAGTTCCGTGTTATTCTTCGTACTTCCCACAATGAGAAAACGCTCAGTGGCAGAAGGGGAAGAAGCACAGCCTCTGGGTAGATGAAAAAATCTCCATAGCACAGTGCTGATTGAAGGAAGAAATAATTGGATAAAGATGTAAGAGTTAGAAAAATGAGGCTGAGCCTTCATGGCAAGCGTATATTAAAAATGTTCAGGAGGAATTTGGAAAATATTTGTAACTTATAGAATTTCTCTTTTAAATCCTGGATGCTTTGCCTGTCACTTGTGAACTACTTTGTCAAATATAGTCAGGTCTCGTGAAAGCTCAAAGCTTCCAGCATTCAGTAAGTCAAAAGCAATTGTTTAGTATTTCAATTTAATTTGAATTTACAAATGTTTATTGAGTATCTAGTACATCCCAAAGCACCGTTCTAGGCAGTGGAGATACAGCACTGATCAAGCAAAAAATACTCCAGCCCTGGTGGAGTTTACATGTTGGTAGGTGTGTGTGTGTGTGGAAGGAAGCGGTTTACAAAATTTCAAAACAGAGTTGAACTAAACTTTACAGTTTGGAAACACAGTATCTTTTCAAATACAAACTTTTCACGTTTAAGTCCATCAGCTCAAAACCCACTGATACTCTAATTTCTCCTTATTTTCAAGAAGCGGGTAAAACTGGAGAAATTTTGTAGTTCACGAATATTACTCAGATGATTAAACACTCTTTAAAAAATATTCTAGAATAATTGCTAACAGTTACACAGTGCTTATTAAGTGATAGATAGGTATTTGTTCCAAGCAGTTTATGTCTATGAATGTAACCTCATAGCAGCCCTCTAAATTAGGTCCTACTATTCTCATTTTCGGATGAGGAAAATCAGGCACAGAAAAGATAAATAACTTGCCCAAGGTCAGGCTAGTAGTGATGGTGGAGCCCGGAGTCACACTCAGGCTACTATATTGTCCATCCCTCGATAGGGAACAACTCTCTTGGGGCCTGGACATCTCACCCCTAGGCCCAGGGATGGATAAATAAATGCATGGCATTATTTGACAACAGTTGTGTATCTTTCTCACTCTTTGTTGATAAACAAGAGAGAAAAGGATTCTGGCTCAATTAAGTAAAGGATGCTACTGCATTCATGGGAACACTGAAGACTCAGGCTAGGAAAGGGCAGGTCTAGGGGACCAGGAAACAGGAATCATAGGAATGGCCTGGCAGCACAGCCAGTCTTGTCTGGATACCACCCCTGATTTTGTGCCTCTCATTCAAATGCCAGGGAGGAGTAATTAATTTGCCAAGCTAAGTTAAGTGACTGACCCTGGGCTAGAGCAGGCTTGGCTCAGAGACTTCCTAGACTGGCATCCAATGAGAAGAGTTAATTTTTCAAAGGAAGTTAAGGTGTTTGTAGGAAGTGGAACTCCATGCTGGGCTGCTCCATAGCAACAAATGTCCACAGCAGGCTATAAAAGCCCATGAACCAGAGACCATCATGAACATCCCTATAATAAAAAGAAGTTGGGTTTACTGAGCAAGGGACAATGCACTCTAGAGGAATAGTGGGGTATTGTGCTAAGAGAGAGTTGGGATGGGCTTATTATAGCATGTTGGCTTTTGCTTGACGATTCTCAGGAGGATTTGAGAAAGTCAGTTCTGGATTGGGTGTTGTCTAGAAGTGAGTGCAGTTGATTGTATATCTCAATAAGATTGAAGTGAAAGTAGGGATTCATTGGCAAAGAAGGAGTCATCACTCACATCAGCAGAAGAGAAGAATCTAGTTATTTTTACAGTCGCTGAGTATCCTTGTCACTATCTTATTTCAAACATGATCAGCACCTTGTCTCTTTATATTCTAGGAATGTGATTTACATTCGTCAGTAACCTCTTGTTGTAGCTGCCAGCTGTCAGCTGTCATCTTGGGGATTTTTCACTTTCTCAGTCATTGAGACTCATCAAAACCAATTAGACTTCCAGGCCTGGATTTTCCTCCTTGTGACTTAGGGTTTCAAGGTGATATCTGCAGCTAGCTAATCACATTCATCGGGACTGACGTCACCAGCACTCAGATAAAGGAATTCTTGAGGGATGTCCTGCTGACAGTGACCTTAGTGGCTATAGCAGGACTGGGCACAATTTATTAATAAATCCGAGGATTTCTTTAATTTTTACCAACTATTCCTTATGCTGAGTGAATACAGATTCTGATTAAAGGGATTTCCCTTTTACTCCATATAAGAGTCACTGGGATATCAGGAACTTTTACTGGTTTCCGAGATTGAATCACTAAGATCAACAAAATAACTGGTCTACAAATTAGTAGTCAAACTGCATCCCCCACCTTTATGATAAGTCTCATCTGTGTAACTTCTTCCTCTCATTGTTGATTGCCCAGATCTCCCTAAAATCAATAAGAATTAACTGTGGATGAGATCTTGGGGGATGAATACAGCTAGGTTTCTAATAAATGAGTAGCCTAGCTGACAGTGGAGGTTACAAAAGAAACTTTATCTCTTTTCTTTGAATTATTTTATCTCCTATATGTTACTACTTGAGCTTCCTGTGCAGGCTCAGTATTATCATTGTTCTTTATATGACTTAAAAACATCACTTGGCAGGCTGTCGAAAGACTTGGCAACACCCTGGGCATTTCTAGAAGCCCCACGTCTTCCAATGTTCTCTGTTAGGGCGTGTGCTCTTGGCTTCTGTGTCCTGATATCTCCCTTTTTACTGGTGTTTCTCTTCATCTTTCTAGGCTCTTGGAGAATTTGTTCTGGTGGAAAAAGAAGTCAAAATTAAAAAGAAAGGAAAGATTTACAGCCTCAATGAGGGCTATGCCAAATATTTTGATGCTGCCACAACAGAATATGTGCAGAAAAAGAAATTCCCTGAGGTGAGTGAAGAAAGCCTAAGGCAGTGGCAGGGAGAATGATGCCTCAGTGGGTTCCTTTTCTGGTGGTGGCTCTAGAGGCCTGGCTAAAAGAGGTTGGTGGCACTGTTTGTGGCTCTGGTCAGTATAAGAATGGTAGACTCTGCCTTTCTTCATAAGCAATCAATACCTTTTATAGCTAAACTTTACCTACTAAAAGTAATACTACTCAGTTGAGTTTTTACAAGAGAAATTATTTACAATGAAGGCAGAGATAATATTTTCAAAATTTAGATGTTCAGGCCAGAACTTCTTTCAAATCATTTGTTTTCTGAGTGACCATCTATATAGATTCGAGCCACTCAGTAATGTTTGCTTTCAGACTGAATAATTATATCTGAAAGTCCCATTTATAAGCTCTAATATTGAGGCCTGGTGTTTACTCCAAGTTTTGGCAAGCTCTTTGGCTCTCAACGTGATCACAAAATTCTGGACTTCATGTGCTGTTAACCCAAACAACCCATTAAATATGTTTACCATACAAAGAGAACTTTACGGCAGGTATGGGTACATAGTCAAATAATTTCCAGATCAAGTGTAAAGTCTGGCTTACACTAGGAGTAGAGCAAAAAAGCTTGTTTACAAGTGTAACTCTCCCTCACCAGATTTTGGGAGATGTATGAGAGGCCCCGTTTCATATGGTGGAAAGGCGGTGGTTGGTGTGCCCGCCTGGCTGTCCCTGGAAGATTTTCTTTTATTTCTTTTCTTTTCTTTTCTTTTCTTTCTTTTCTTTTCTTTTCTTTCCTTTTCTTTCCTTTCCTTTTCTTTCTTTTCTTTCTTTTCTTTCTCTTCCCTTCCCGTCCCTTCTTCCTTCCTTCCTTCCTTCCTTCCTTCCTCTTCCCTCCTTCCTCTCTCTCTCTCTCTCTTTATTTCTTTCGTCTTTTTTTTTAAGTGAAATTCTCTGAAGTGCAGTCCCCTGTTACCTTTGCTTTGTGAAGTAGTATTTTGCCACGGCACACAAACCGTCAGACGTCTTGAGGGCAAAAATAACAGGATATGAATTATGAGGTTGATAGACTCAGAATTATTTATGAGTTGCCAGTCTTAGAGACGGTTTCAATTCTAAGCGGAAAAGTACGTCCTTTAGAACCCATAAAGGAAGATATTTATTCTACCACTGAAAACTCCTCTGCAAAAAACAAAAACCTATAAATCTTTTTGAAAGAGAAGTTACAGACTGAGAAAAAAGTAACACCACATATACCACTTATGACCAACAGCAAGTGAATAGTCTATGTGAGGACCCTTATAAATCATAACACAAGGATGAGCAAGCCCCCAAATTAAAAAAAAAAAGTGCATATTATGGAAGACGCGTACATGTCCAGTCAGCAAATGGGAAGGTGCTCATAAAAAGTACAAATTAAATGCAATACCATTTTTACACATGAGATTGGCAAAAATATAAAAGATGAATACTGTTCAGTGGTGTAGGAAAATAAGCACTCTCATAAATTGTTATTGAAAACATAAACATCACAACCTTTCTGGGGGGCAATCTGGAATATGATTTTAAATATTAAATATCCATACCTTTTGACTCAGCAGTTTATCCTAAATTTCCCCAGGAGTTTATGCTAAGGAACTAATAGGCCAAATGAAAAGAGATAAATGCAAAAGAATATGTCATTGCAGTATCATTTATAACAACAACAAAAGGAATAACTGAAGTACTCATTTGTAAGCTTGGGTTAATATATTATGGACACTCACAATATCCTAATGAATATTTTGTTACACATCTATTCTTCCATTATAAAGGCAAGTCCTTCTTTATATATCGATAATGAAACATGTCTACAAAATAGTCAGTGAAGAAAATAGGGTACAGAACTAAATATAATCTCCTATATGTAAGTATATATGTGTGTGTGTGTGTGTATGTGTGTTTATGCACACAAATATACATAGTGTGTATATATACATAAAATATCTTCAAAGAATGTGCAACATTGTTAATAGAGGTTTCTGGAAGTTGAGGTTATAGGGTTCTTCACTTTTTCTGGAATGTGCAATGATGATGTGATTTTGAAAACAGATCATTCCATTTCTCTTTACACAAATTATTATAAAACCATGTCATTTGAAGAGGCCAAAGAGTATGCAACCAAAAAAATTTAAAGGGAAAATATATATCAGATAGTTAATTAATAAAAATAGCATATTTTGGGGGGGATTTTATGATGTTTAATATAGTCTTAGCCAACTTTTTAAAATTTGTAATATGTTGTGGTCTCCTTTCTCTCTTGAAGTTTTGCCTTTTGGAAGCTCACTCTGTGTGAGTAGGTAGATCCTTCCCACCCCTGATTCTCCCTGAGGCCGTTGCTTCCCTGCAAGATATTTTGTTCTGGCTGCCATTCCCCCATACACTGCATCTCAGGAGGCGGGGTTTGGTGCAAGTGCTCTCCTTTCCTCTCTGCCACTGTGAAAAAAGCATCTTCCTTTGCCATCTCTCTCCCCTGACAATAGCAGCTGTTCCTATCCCTGAATGCACTCTTCTACTTAGTCATGATAATAATAGCTAGTGTATGTTGCGTCAGGTGCTGTTTCAAGTGAACAGTCGAGTAACTCGTCTAAGGTGATAATCCTAGGGATTATCAGTTTTTAGGAATTGCCGAATTATGAAAGGGTAAATTCTCATGTTTACTCTTCAAACAGCCCCCTAGCCTTTCATATTTCTTACACTATGTCTTAGTCCATTTGGGCTGCTATAATGGAATACCATAGATTGAGCAGTGTATAAACAACAGAAATTTACTTCTCACAGCTCTGGAGCCTGAAAGTCCAAGATCAAGGTGCCGGCAGATTTGGTGTTTGACAAGGGTCTACTTCCTGTTTCATACACGACTGTCTTTACACTGCATCCTTATATGGTGGAAGGGGCAAGGGAGCTCTCTGGGGTCTCTTTTATAAGGGCACTAATCCCATTCATGAGGGCTCCACTCTCATGGCCTAATCACCACCCAAATGCCCATGTCCTATCACTATCACATTGGGTTTAAGATTTCAACATATGAATTTTGGAGGAAACACAAACACGTGGTCTACAACACACTTCTATGTCCCTAGCTCTGATGTGAAGTTCATCATGTCCCTTGATTCCTCTTTGTCCCTGTGTTTTGGTTCGTGTCCTCTTGTCCCTATCCCTTGTTCCTTTCCTCACCTCATTGACACTCTAATAGCCTGTACCCTATGATTGATGACATCAACTTCTCTTCTACCTGTATCCTCTACTCCCTTACCTCCTTATTTTCTACATTCTTCTAACTCTGAGTCAATCTCCAGTAGACTCTCCACTCTGATGCATGTACTGAGGAGTATAACCAAGCCAATGTTGGCACTATGAGTGAGGTCACCATGTTTACTGGTCTATTAGTACCCCTCAGCATGTTGTATTTGACCTTGGTCCTACTTGACAGAGAAAATAGGTCACATCAGCTCTCCATTTCACACCTGCAAACACAGTGACAGTCTTTTTTTAAATGATCTCAGGTCCAACATTCATCCTCCTACCTGTGCTCTCAGCTCCAATTCCTCCTCACTCCATCTTCCTTCTGTATTTTCATCCTCTTGCTACTAGTTATTTCCTTTCAGCCTGTGAACATAGTCACATCTTTTTCATCTTAAAAATCCCTCTTCCACCTACATTTGTGGCTATAGTCAATGCCAAAACCCTTGCCATCATATTGCAATGAACCACACTCACACACATATACTCACACACACACTCACAAACACTCACACATGCATACGTGATTCATTCAGTCTCCGTTTCCTTTTCTCCCATTCAGTCCTCTGAAATTCGTCCCCTGCCTCTACAACTCCATGGAAACTGCTCTTGTCGAAGTTACCAATGACTTCTGTGTGGTCAAGTCCATTGAAACTTTACTGTCTATATTTTATTCACTCTCTCTGAGCATCTGAAATTATTGATCACTGTCATCGTCTTCTTCTCTGACTTCCGTGATTCTACTTTTCCTGTTTTTCTGCCTCTCATCTTGGGGATCTTTCTTCATCATTAGTTTCCGACTGTTAAGAATATTTTAAAAGTAAAGTTTGAGGTGTAGTTTAGTTTAGTTTTAGAATGAAAGGGAAAAGCCCTTGTGAATTGAATTGACCAATTAAAAGTTAATTTTTCTTAATAAAAATATAAACTTTTTTGGACTGCATGAGGTGATTCTAAAGTTTATATGAAAAAATAAACAAGAGTGAGTAATGGAAGAAAATCTTAAAAGGGGGGAAGACAATGTGGTGGAAATAGTGGTGCTATCAGATATTAAAACATATTATAAAGCTTCAATAATTATAACAGCTTAGTACCAGTACATGAATAGACAGAGCTATGGATCAGAATAGGAAATCTGGCAGTAAATACAAATATACACGGGCATTCTATATAGCTTTCTCAGAGCCAGACGCCTTGAACAATGACAACTTTTGCACTTACTGCAGGCAGTGTTCATCCACTTGCAAAAATATACTTAAGTGTCCTTCATTAAATATAAGAAAACAGAAAGAAATCTAACTATGGGAGGTGAACACAAAATGTAAATATATATATGCCTTACTATTAAAATGTACAGCTGAAACTTATCGGATTTCATTAACCATTGTCACTATAAAAAATAAATAAATTAATTAAAAAATTAAAAAATCAAGTGTGGTTTGCTAAATATCAGAAAATGAACAACCCACCTTTTCTTCCTGTATCATCTTATTAACTACTCTTTCTTGTACACTTTGCAGCCAAGTTCTCTTGAAAGAATAGTTTTTATACACTGTCTCCACTTCTTCTTTTTGAAAAAATATTTAAAAAATATATTGTTTTACTTTTAGTTATAGAGAAAGACAATATGGAAGATTATACATTTTATAACTTTTTGAAATAGGAGAAGAAAAAGTTGTAATTAAATCTGCACTAATAGTACAGCAGCCACTAGTCACATGAAACTATTGAGCATTTGAAATGTGACTAGTCTGAAATGAGATGAGCTATAAGATACATACAAGATTTTGAAGGCTTAGTGTAAGAAAGGAATGTAAAATAATTCTTGAATAATCTCTTCTATTGATTATGCATTGAAATGATTATATATTGAAATGATAACATTTCGATACATTATTTAAAATGAAAAATGATTTCTAAAGCTGTTTAAAATTTTGCAAGTGGATGAACACTGCCTGCAGTAAGTGCAAAAGTTGTCATTGTTCAAGGCATCTGGCTCTGAGAAAGCTAAAAAGTGCTCTGAACTGAGGTACACCAAGACAGAGTTTCAAGGAGCTGCCAAGCAATTGTTTGAACTGTAGGAGAGGAAATCTTTTCTCTTCTTTCCTTCTAGGTCCTTTGGCTGGTCTAATAATTAAATTGACATAAGACAGATTAATGAGAGAAAACCAATTTAATTTTATACTTATGGGAGCCCCATTAAAAATATGAGACTTGAAGAAGTGACCAAAGCAGGCAGATTTTATAACTTTTAGGCAAAGAAACAATAAATGTGTGAAGAATTGACAGGACAAAGAAGTTAGGTCTAAGGGTAGTACATTAGTGAGGAAGTAACAAGGTTTATTGATACAGCCTTCTCAAGTCTTAAATTCTCTATCTCTGGTGATAATGTCTCTCTTCCTACTGGTACAGGGAAGGCACCTTTCACATGAAAGATTTATTTCCTGCTTTCAGGAGGATGAAGAAGGGCCAGAGTGTCCTTGCATCAGCTGTTTCTCAAGTAACTTTAATTCAAAATAATCGATATGCCAAAGTGGCTTATTTTGGGGTAGCATATTCTGCCCTCCTTCCTTTTTTTTTGATAGCTGCTTTTTAAAAGATGGTTACAAGATATTGTGTCTTACTTTATGTAGTCTTATAATGAATTCAATCACTGGTTGAGATATGGGGCTTTGAATGAATAAAATGCTTAATTATATGTTTTTCAATTTCTCGCCTAGTGGGTAGAGAATGAAGGATCTGGAATGCAGAGGCCACACCAACTGGACATGTGATCCTGAGCTGGCTAATTACTGAACTCACTGCATCTTGTCTCTTCCCTCTCTGCTTACTAGGACGGCAGTGCTCCCTATGGAGCCAGGTACGTGGGCTCCATGGTGGCCGATGTGCACCGTACCCTGGTCTATGGAGGGATTTTCCTGTACCCAGCAAACCAGAAAAGTCCTAAGGGCAAGGTAATTCTCCTGTCCACTGGCTGTCTCTGGTCAGGGAGCCAGTTGGAATTCCCTTTCTCTTCACACCTGCTTTTTCAGCTACTGCCCTGTCCTCGGCATGTCTGTCTGAGAATGGGCAGGTAGAAAAGAATGAGATGTATTTCCTAGTAGTAAATTTTGAGGTTGTAGTAGAAGGTTTGGAGGAGGAGAAGGTTGAAGTTGTTGATAATGCTGATCATTCTGGCCTTCCTTTCCTCTGGTCTTATGCCTGTCACTGACCATGAGTCAGCTGTGTTTATCTCCCACTTTCCAAATGCTATGTCTGACTTTTAGTTTCAGCACCAGCTGATTTTAGATCATAGACCTCTTTAAGACTCCAATGAAACTTATGGACCTACTTCTCAGAAAAAAGTGCATATAAACGTATGCATTACATTTGTTTTCAGGGGATTCACAGACGATCTGAAGTCCACCCAAGGTCTTCTAGAAAGTTTCCATACTCTAGAATTCATTCACTATTTCTGGAAAGGTAACTGCTGGAAGATCTTAAGCAATTTTATGACACAAAACTGAAAATACTTGTATTATCAAGTGGAAATCTTATGATCTAAATGCATCTATCTTGAATAGACTCTCTCAAGGACAGGTGTCTGATTTTTAGCCAATCACAGAAATCATAGTTGAGTAGGCAAAACAAAACAAAGACCTGCCATATTCTTTGACATATCAACAATCACACACACACACACACACACACACACACACACACACACACACACACAATCAAGGTGGGAAATTTGAATTATTAGAATGCCGGATTCAAAGCCACGATCAGATCTAACAGCACATAAGAGCAGAGAGATTTTTAGTATGCAGATTGGTGTATCACGCATTTCTCATTATGTGAGTGTTGAGCTCATGTATATGAACCTATTGAACTAAGAATCACAGAAAAGTCTGCATGAGAGGTGCTGGTGCAAAGAAGTATTATGGAATATTAAATGAGATCAAGTAAAAGTTTTGGAAATGCTTAAATAGAACCACTTTGTTCAAACAGGGAGAACATAAAGACTAATTATTAAGACTAATTATTACTGATTAATAAAATGATTTAGAATGAGTCAGAAAACACCCACATATAATTACTTAAACATTTCCATAAGCAAGTATAATTCCATTTATAGTCCTATTTTCATAGCACCATAACTACCACCCATAATTAAAGTACCTTTGGTTTCTGAATTCCATGTTTTAACTCTCACGGTTTCTGTGACCACATCTATGTACATATGTGTGTATGTGTGTGTGTGGGGGGGGAGTGCATATGCCTCTCCTCCTGTGTGTGCTTGTCTCTGTAGAACCATGCAACTTTTGACTGAAGGAAAAATAGATCACATGGCCTGCAGGCCAAGGCACCACAAAGACTTGGGTGTTGTGTTTTGTGATGAGTTTATTACAATGATGGCTTCTTAAGGTCAGAGAAGACCTTGGCTCCAAGACAAGTTTTATGTGAGAATGCTGTGCTCTTTTATTCTTTTTTTGAAGTATCTGAATCAACATGGCACAAAGGTTAATTGATTAATTGGTTACAACCCCCGACTTTATTGCCTGACATCCCCAAAACACTTGTCTTCAAGCCCCCAGGGCAAGGGAAAGGGGAGGAAAGAGCCAAGCTCTACAACTTGCCAGGTCAGAGTCTCCTTGGCAGCCTGTTCAGGACAGCATGGACATCAGTGTCCCTCCTGTGGACAACCAGGGACAAAACTAGCTGAATCAAGTGTGCCTATACGCATTGAGGCTTCTCTGTGTCCTGCCAGGCTGCCCATGACTCTAAAGATCAGGGGTCTAAGGTGAGAGCATTGTACACTGTTTTACCAAAATGGCAAGTAAATGCTCCAGTGTCTTAACTTACTCTCTCTTGAGTGCCTGACTCTCCAACCTAGACCAGAGCTACTTTATTCCTCTCCATGTAATAACAAAAATAAAAATCAACACTAAATATGACTCTTTCTCCAAATAGCTTCAACATATCTTCAAAACAGATTTTAAGGAAAGAATGGAAAGGAAAAGGCTGCATAGAGCAGGGTCAACCACTTTGTAAGCCGATTATAGAAAATTAACATTTAAACAAATCATAGATTTTGCACCTATGGGGAAGGAAGGAGAAGATAATATGATATTGAGTCAGAGAATGCAGCTAGAATGTCACCTTGAATCTAATGTGATATGTGTGTGTGTGTCTGGTGAGAGGGTGGTGGGAAGGTGGTCTGGGGAGGGAGTCACAACATAATCATAGAAATGAGTCCAAAAGGGACATTCATTCCAGCCCATTTCATTTCAATTCACTATGTGCTTACTGACACAGGGATGTCAGTAGTGCCTTTCAGAAAAGGCATTTCTTGCTCAGAACAGGTTTAGCCCTGGGTCCATGTGCACAGCTTGGCAAGCAGGACGTGGGCTGATTTTACCCTCCGACCCATTTCTGCCCCTCACTGGGAGCCTTTGTGCAAGGTATATGGTAGCCTTTTTTTGGACACTTTCTTTGTATCAGGCAGTACTGGAAATGGAGATACCACAGTGACCAACCAAGACAGATGCCATCCTGCCCTCAAAAGAGGGTGTTTATGGAGGAAGGCAGATGTTAAACAAACTTCACTGCCACAACTATTATAAAAGGGGAAGTGCAGGATACTATAGGACTGCAGACAACAGGAGTTAAGTTAGTCTAAGGGGCAAAAGAAAAGGCCAGTTAAACACCAGGAAACTGTTTAGCCAAGTCGACACTTGAGATGTGGAATTCTCCACCACTATCCTGGACTCTGTGGTTATCCTGAGATACCTCGAGGTGACCTTCCAGTCCCATCCAAACTTGACTCTTCGCATATAGATCCTCCTAATCAAGCCTGCAGATTCACTTTGCCACATTACTGAACCAACAAGAAAAGGGTACCAAGATCTCATTCTTCCAAATGAATAGGCAGATCTCTCATAAAGGTCACAAGTCAGGTAGTTACTTACCAGAGGTTCTTGCAAAGGCAGATTTGGTGAGCATCGGCTGATGCACCCCGCCTTCTGGAGTGTCTAAATCTCAGGCAGTCCGCTCTGCTGAGGCGCACGAGCCTACTCGCACTAATGAAACAATCAGAAATTCAGTAGTTAGAATTCCTTGTCGAGCTTTAGGGGCCTGGCTTGAGATTTTTGGCTACTTGCAAAACTTGTCTACCTGACTCTGTTTCTCTGCAGCTCCGGCTCCTGTATGAGTGCAATCCTATGGCCTACATCATTGAGCAGGCAGGAGGCTTGGCAACTACAGGAACACAGCCCGTGTTGGATGTAAAGCCTGAGACCATTCACCAAAGAGTCCCCCTGATTTTGGGGTCCCTGGATGATGTGCAGGAATATCTCACCTGTGTACAGAAAAACCAGGCAGGCAGGTAGTGAGTCTGACCCTGCAAACCCTCATCTCTTTGTCCTGTACTTGTATTAAGGACCCTAATGAATAATAAGTAACAATGGTGATGATGAGTAATGAAGGCCAATCCACCGAATCACAAACAGAAGGGCAGCAGCAAACTATTCATGACAGGTCCAGAGGCCAGAGGTGATTCTGTGGTCAGTGTAAACAGCTAAAAATAAAAACCGACAAGTAAGAAGAACAAATTTGATTTGTTTTCTGTCATGAACAGTGGAAAATAGGGTTGTAATTTTGTCAGTTTGAGTAATCAGCAGCTACCTACTTGTTGGCAAAAAGTACAAAGAACAGTTAAGAATTTGTCTTGGCTGGCTTAAAATTTGAACCTAGTGTCTTATCCTGTAGTGGTTTATTTCCTTTCTCATGAGAAAATACATGCATTAAATATATATAATATATTTAAATGTATATTTATATATTTTTAAATGGCCGACAAAGAGTTCTGGTCTTATTTTGGTTAAGGTTTGAGTTAGAAATCTCATGGCCATTAAATTCTAAAATTTCAGATCAAGTCTTTTTTGGGAGCAATAACATGAATGACCAGTAATGTTTGAATGGAAAGAAGTGGTCACCTATTGACAAAACTATATACTAAACAGAGTTAATATTTAAAAATTAACACATACTTTTCTCAACCCCTTAACTCTCATCTTTATTTTTGGGAGAAATGTTTTAATTAATCCTAGGGCTTAACCAGGATGCACTGATTAAATGACTTTTCGTTTGTCCAAATTATGTCAACATTTGGATGGGGTGGCAAATGCATGAGAAAACTCAGCTTGCTTTAACAAGACTTGCTATATATGTATATGGACTTGGAGGCCAAATATCCTTAATGAAATATTGACAAATCAAATCCAGAAGTATTTAAAACAAAGATGCCTCAGGATAAAGTCAAGAATGATTCACATTAGAAAATTCATTAAAGTAATGCATTGGGTTAAGGCAAAAGGCAATGGTGTGCGGGGTGAGTGGGTGGGAGAAGCCATGGGAGGAAGCAAGGCTCTCCTTCTACACTTTAGCTTTGGGCAGGGTGGTTCGTACAACTCAAAGGCAGATTTCCACTTGACTCTAATTCAGGACTCAACATTGTTCTTCTATGGCTTGGCAGCAGTAACAGAGGCAGCAAAATTTTAATGTGTAAATCAAAAATTTTTCATCTTTCCAAAAAGGAACAAATAGTTTCTTTTTCTAGGAAAAATTCTGAATCTAACCAACAGGCTATTAATAGTTGATTAGACACTCATTCTGAAATTTTGTATCTCAAAGTTTCAGACTGAAATCTCACTTCGAAATCTCTTACGAATACCTTGATTTGCTGACTTTAAGCACATAGTATAAGGATGACATAGCCAAGAAGAAAAGGTTATCTTGGAAACAATGCTGAGAGATAGCACCTTCAATCATGATGTATGTTTCTTCAATGAATGGTGGTATACGCTCAGGAAAAGATCCATTCACCATTCATATGTATTCTTCTTCAAGCTGAGGCTCTGGGTCCCTATATGTCAAATCCAGGAACTAGGAACTAGGGAAGAGTATGGGACTCTCATTCCATTCTCTGAGGCTACATATCAAAGATGCCAGGTACAGTGGTGCTGGGTGACAGGTGCTTTCATAGGCAGGGTCTAGAAAGACCACTGGTTGGGCTCTCTTGCCTGAATGAGCTGAGGATTTTTTTCTTCTGTTTCTCATTTTCTCCTGATTGCCTTCCCAGTTTAGATGCTTGTGTCTGTCTCAGGAAGAAACCTATTATGCTTTCCATTTTCAAACATTTCCCTAAAATACACTGTACAGGTTTGGCTCCACTTGGGGAAGGTGGGATCACTCACTGGTTTCCGTTATACTCTGGGCAGATGGGCTTCAGCAACTGGGAGGCAGATCCATTAACACATCAAAAGGAAAAAATGTCATATGATCATTTTAATAGATGATTTTTAAAAGTGAGAAGAAAACGTGCTGTTTCAAATCAGTGGGAAAGGATGACTGGTGTGAATAATTAGCTAGTCATTTGGGAGAAAAAATAAAACTAGATTCCCAAAACGTATTCCAGATGAATTCCAGAATTAAACATAAGAAATAAATTTACAAAGGTATTAAAAAAAAGATAAATGGGACAATATTTATGACCTTAAATGGGACCAAACAACATAAAGCAAAAAAGAAAAGGAAAGACAGATGTGATTACATCAAAATGAAAACAACACACCGCAAAGTTAAACGACAATTGATAGCTGAGCAGAAAATATTTGTAACATATAACAAAAAATTAATACCAAAAATCATACATATCAAGAAGAAAAAGATAAACTATTCATAAGAAGCAAACTAAGGATATAAAACTGCAATTTGCAGAAGAGAAAACATAATCAATAAACATGTCAAAAGATTGCTAGTCTCCTTGATCATTTATTTGAGTTAATTTTTGTGTGTGATGTATGATAGTGCTGGAATTTCAGTCATTGGTATCTAATTGTCCAGTTTCCTTCTTTCCTTAAAGTAAACTGATTATAAATGTTAATCACTCTGTACAGCAACTTAAGAGCAACCCTGAGACTAGTGTTTGACCAAAGAACTGGGCACCATAGCCCAGCCAAGCTGACACTTAAAATTAACCATCACAGTTGAAGTACAAAAAAGTATAGATGACCGAACTATAATGATAGGTAATAAGGACATTTTACAAATAGATATGATCAAATGTCATTTTTTTGTAAAATTTTTTAAAAGCACACAAAAAAACTACATGTGTTTGGAAGTAAGGACAAAGAAAAAAGGACTATTGATATCCTTGAATTAATAATTGTGGTTATTCCCCTAAGGAAGGTGGTTGTTTGTTAGGGATAGAGTACCAAGAGGGGTCTTTGCTTTATCTTCACTGCTTGATTCTTAAAACTATGAAAAAGTATTCGTACATAAATTGCGCTATGTCATTTAATTCATTCAAACAGCAAATTTTATTGTGTGCCTGCTCTGTGCCAGGTCCTGTCCTTAGGGCTGAGAAAGAGGAGAACAAAACAAAACTCCCTGATCTTTGTATAGATTCAGTGGTAATGTGTGGGGAGACACAATAAACAAAACCAACAAAATGAAATAGTATGTCAGATGGTATACTATGGGAAAAAATATCAGGGAAAGGGAGAGTAGTGGTAGAAGAGGTTATTTTAATTTTAGTTCTGGACAAGGACAGGCTTCATGGAGAGGGTGACATTTCAGCCAGGTTCAGACAGAGGGGAAGAGCCTTATATACGCTGAGGGAAAGCCTCATAGGGAAGGGGGCAGAAAACATATACAAAGACAAAGAGTATTTCAAGACATTTAAAAAAATACTATATTCAAGTTTTTAGGCGCTCTTATTCCAGGATTTCATTCTCGCCACCTGACAGGAATGGTTTGACCCACCTGCGATAGCTGGAAAAGCGAGTGGGAAGAAGATAAACTAAGGTTCCCAGTAGGAGAGCAGTTAATGGCCCTCTGACACTGTGTTTTCTGGCTGTTCCTTAACAAAGGAGTTCCTCTGGGCACAAGAGGGCTTTCTTTTTGGGAATGCAGCTCATCCCCAGGAAGCTATCTTTTTCTTGGAAGTTAGACTGACACCCAGGACAGTATGACGCTCATTTGACAAAGCCTCCCAAGACTGCTAGGGAGAAAGAGGATGGTGGGCCAGGAAGTGCAGGCCAGGATTACTCTTTCCATGCAGTGGGCCAGCGCTCTCAGAAGAGGACTTCTTATTAGAGATCAGTATTTCAGTGTCAAAAAGACCAGCGATATTCCCCATCTTGGGTCACAATTACTTTTTGAGCAGCATGCATGATATTCTTATTTGCATCATTTCCCACATTCCTTTCAGATCTTTCTTATGCTCTTTTTTCCCACACAAAGAAAAACAGAAAACATTTGATGTCATCAAGTGAAAATGGCTTCAGAGAGTGAAGAACACATTAATTATCACCAAGTTAAATAAAAAGAAAAAGAAGCAAAGAGTGTTGTATGTGCATTTTCCTGTGTGAGAATACCTTTCTGTGTGGTATCTAAGGCCTCTGGTATGAAACCCCAGCCAGTGCTACATTTGAGAGACAGCATGTGAGGAGAGAAGCAATACCAGACCTACCTGTGTCTTTTATTGCTTGGCGAATCCCTAAATCTACTGCTACCAGTGATACCCCTGCTAAGCTATGTTGGGTTTCTTAAACTTTTCTTTTCTTAGTCAGCTGATTTCCTTGTAACAGACTGTAGCATTTCGTTGAACTTAGCGGAATCCTAAAAACTAGGTGAAAACTTGTGAAAATAAAACTGGATCTTGAAGCATGTAATGAATGGACAGGAACCATTGAGAGTTGACTGATTTCTTACTTGTCCCATCTGGATGTTCAGCAAGTCTGACTTGTCTTGCTGGTCTTGACTGGATGAGTTCAGTTGTGCCCTCCAGCTTGCTGAGAACATGAGGCTAGCTGTGTAGAACAGATGCTTTCCTCTCCCTATGACCACAAACTCATTGGCTTAAAGACATAGAAATTTATTTCTTATAGTCTTCAGGCTAGAATTCTAAACCAACATTCCTTCCAAGGGCTATGGGGGCTGAATCCTTTGTTGCCTCTTCCAGATTCTGATATTAAGTTTATGTGTCAGACAAAACTTTTTAAAACTAAAATTTGTTCTTGGCTTTATTTAATTCATGCTGATAGGTTTATTTAAAAAATGCTTTTATAATAGATGCAGTTTGGAACTTTTCACAAGTTTAAATGAATATAAACATCTTTGAAAGGTATAGAAACTTCTAATTTGTGTTTAATCATTTAGATAGTATTTAGTTTGGAACGCTTTCCTAGTTTAAATATAAATGTCTTTGAATGTTACAAAAACTTCTAATATGCGTTTAATTGTTTAGACATCTGAGAGGTCTTCACATTTTCATTCATATCAGCACCTCAACAATTATTTAGAGCCTTGAGTTAACTTTCCAGTATGCCGTGGACACCATTCTAAGTTAGCCTGTCATGGTGAAGAAAGATGACAATCACAAACGTGTCCTTTCTGGTGGATTTTCAGAGATAAAATGTGACAGTTTGCATTTTCCAAAGATGGCTACAATCATATCTACCATGTCACATGCTCTTCTGCTAAGTGACCTTGCCTCTTCCTACCACGAGGTGGACTCTCAGCCCCCTCCCCGGGAACACGGGCTGTCCTTGGTGACACCCTCCAAATACAATGCAGCAACGGAGACAAGGCCATAAGAAGCCTTACAGTTCTTCATTGGGTGTTCTGACACACTGTCTCTAGGGACGTTCCTCTCGGCGCTGGTCTTCATGCTATGGGAGCCCAAGCCGTGGAGGATCCCATGTGGGTGCTCTGGTCAGCAGCTCAGGCTGAAGGCCCAGCCCACACCAGCATTTAGGATGTCATGTGACTGAGCTTGCTTGGATAGGAGCCCAGTCAGACCTACAGATGTTTCTAGCATGCATGACAGATTCTAAGGGAAAACTATGCAGCTAAGCCCAGTGAGTAAATGGGAAAGAGGTTTTCTTTCAAGCTGCTACCTTTCCAGGTGTTTATTTTACAGTAATAGCTAACCAGAATAATCTTTTCAACTGCACTTCCCAGTGGTTCCCCTGTGTCCCACGTGTGGACACAGCCTCATCGCTTACTCTCAACTCACTTCCTACCTTCTGTAAATGCAATCTCTCTTTTCTTAGGGATTCTGACTGCGAGTCCCTGTCAGACACTCTTCTTTTATCCTGTCTTACTGACTGGCTCCTCTGGGTTCATGTCAAATTTCTCTTCCTCCTAGTGCTCTCAGCTACCTCCTTGTCCCTAACAGCACCAGCTCCTCTTTGAGGTTGTGAATGTTTTTTTTTTTTTCTACAAGGTGATGATTGGGACACAGTGAGAATGACATCAATTCCGGTTGTTTCAATATAGGTCCCAACAGACAGAAGGGGTTCAGTTCGGGAGCCTCCCATATCTTCCTATGACTACGCTTAGTTGCTAGTACTCTCACAGAATCTACAGACTTTCAGTCCCAACACAACATTTGTCATTTTAGGTAAAAAATTTGGAACTTTAAGGACCTAAGAGGGAAGGCCACATTGAAGGCCCAGGACGGGCCTTCAATGGTCCAGGACGGCTGGACTTGACCAGAGGCTGCTAGAAGACTTGTGGGCTGAGATCCCAGTTGTCCTTCACCTCATGTCCTCATAAGGAATTATGAGGCCTATTAACTAAATCCTCCCACTTATTCTTTATTTCCTTGAGTGGGAACATGCAAATTTTAATCAAAAAGCAAATGGAACTCTGTGCTTCAACATGTGAAATACAGATTTTTAAAAATAAATTCAGGGATTAGGTAGCTAGGTATATCATAGGCCTCAGACCATCACTTTTGATGCTCTCACCTATCTCCCACAGTGAGGCCACAGCACTGTATTCGAAGCCCTGCCTCAAATCCAGGAGCTTATCCTTCATCCCTTATTGACTTAAAGACAAACATTCTTGGTGAACCACTATGTCTGGTCCTTCCTTGATGGCAAGGTAGCCACATGGTCTTCACTAGCATTTGGGGAAGATGAACCAGAAACTAGCTCAGTGACATTCATCCTGTAACTCAGCTGGGTTGTAACCATCTTGTGTCAAGTGATCATGACCACTAAGGCCCTTTTTCAGCCTGGAAATCCTATGTATGTGTGATCACTTTTTAAATATGTAAATTTTTTTCTTATTAAAATAATTTACCTTTGTCCTTATGAATCGTTTGTAAAATTTTGACAAACATTCAAGGGTTGGGTCATGCACAGCCAATGGGCAACTGACCTAAGATCTTCAAATTTATAACTAGAAGAGCCCAAAGGCCCCCCAGCCATTCTCCTAATGGACCATTGGCACACTCAGTTTTGTCTTTAGAGACCAATAACATTCCGACCCTACAAAAACTTAATGTTTTAAAAACAAAAATGAAAAAAAGCCCCACCTCTACTTTGAACTTAAGTTTTATTTTAAAAGGTAAAACTTTATACATCCTTTTAAAACCAAAATGCCAAAGTAATTAGGCAAGTCAATCATACAAAGCTGTTTATACAATAATTACTAGTAAATGTCACACATGTTTACTAGTAAAATGTCACACAACTCAAATGATCCAAATGTTTTATCTCACACAATGATGTCTGGTCAGTTTTAAGATATAATTTCTCCTCTGGATATTCTGTCCTTAATCACATCTGTCTTTATCACCATCATCTCACACAATAGGATAGCTGGCTGCAGTGGCAATTCCACAGTGGTTGTTCTGGTCTTTGGCCATGTTGATGTAACCATTCATGCCCCAATTTGTACCCCAGCTAAAAGAAGAGAAGGTTTTCCATTTTACACAAAGAATTAAACACATTTATCTTTATTAACAATCACATCTGATACTTGAGTAGTGCACCAGAGGCCCACAGATTCAGAAAGAAGCAGGAGAGGCAATTATTCTTGTTCATGGTTGAGCTCAAACCTGCATGTAACTTCTATCTATAAACCTTTCACAGAACTTGGAATTAGAGGCTAAAAAAGAAAACTCTTGGAGCCAGATGTGTTTCGGAAGTAAGAAAAATTTCAATTTTAGAAATGAAATGGTACCAAAACTATATCAATGCCCTAGCAAGCTTGAGACAGTATCTTAATGTTATAATTAAACATTCATATGTCTCTGTTCACCCTAAGTGGCAAAAACACTTCTAGGATTTCTGAAATATGCTCAAGTGTTTAAGGACCTGGATCCAAATACTGATTCCAAAAAGGATTCCCTTTCCAATATCAAATATAAATATTTTTAGCATTTTATACCTGTTCTTGACGATCCAATATTTATTTTTATTTGATTCTGCTCTTTCAAAGCCATAACCAACCACCAGAACACCATGATTCAGGTCTTCACTGCTGCATTCTGGTTCATAATAAATGCCTAAGAAAATAAAATTCAATCTTGGGGTAAGGGTCTCCAAGTGACATGTCACAGTAATCCAGCCTAGTAACCACACTAAGGGAGGCATCTACAAATTCAGTTAGATGACATAAATCCAGATAAGATTTAAAAACAAGATTTTAAAAAATCTAGGCTAGGGATTTAGACCCTCCTATAACATGAGCAAAAGTACAAATTGCTACTATCACTTTTCTAAACAATTTGTCAAGAAGCAATGAAACTTTGTCATTCTACTTTTAAGGTGTCAGTCTAAGGAAATAGCACAGAACACAAAATTAATTGAACCAAGGGTTCTTTCTAGTTTTAATTATGGTAGTAAAATTCTTTGAAAATTTTAAAAGTCTAACAATTTTTAAAAAGTAAAGTAAATAAAACTATACCAATCAAATTATGTAGCCATTTAATATATTCATGAAGCACTTAAAATTATAAGAATATGGTTTAAGGTCAAAAGGACAACATCAGGCACAAATATTACATGTACAGAATACATTACTATGTTAAATTCACATACCCAGAATATTCTACATTGACTTCTACAAAGAGTCAATTTTGCTGTATGTCAGGGTGGTTTTCTAACTTTTCTGGCTAAATTTGTACCCAAACAAATGCTTACCTTTTTCATAGAACTGGAAGGAGCTATAGCTTGCATCTATACCAACAGAGATGGGCCCTACACTTGCCACTGCCTTCATAAGGGACCTCTCCTGCTTATGAATGTCCACGAAACCACTGTCATTGGCAGCAGAAAACTCAGGCTTGTATTTGCAGGATTCATCCTTTCAAAGGTAAAAAGGGAGAAACTTTATTATGACCAAACTCCTGTGGAACGTGAGTTCAAGACAGTTTACAGCTTAATGATTTCCAAGTCAAGTTTGTTATAAAGCATTCCAGGAGGTAAAAAGCTATTGGTTGCTTTGAAACTAGCTAGTGTCTATTCAATGAGATACAGACACTCGCTCTACCTGTCCATAGACTTTTTTCACTCTGGAGAAATTTATACTGTATATAGAATGGTATGTGTATCTCTATGTAACATAGAAGCAGAAACAGATATATGGTAGCTATCTAAACAAAGAACTGTACAGTTCTGACAGTTTGCAGATTAGATTCTACAACCTAAAGTGTAAATTATGTAGTATCTGTTTTCTCTAAAGTTTTCAAAACTAAAAAGCAGAGCTAGAATGATAACAAGATATGAAGTGCCTTTTACCCTTGCGAGATATGGATAGGATTCCTCTGAGTCCAGGCCTCCATTGTCCTTGACATACTGGAAGGCATTATCCATTAGGCCGCCATCACAGCCCTCATTGCCTTGAGACTGAGAGCAGTCCACCAAGTTCTGCTCACTCAGTGAAATAAGTTTGCCAGTTTTCCGGAACATCTGTCCTTCAAGGGCACCAGTTGCACTAAAAGCCCAACAAGAACCACATTGACCCTGAAAACAAAATTTAAAAGTGTTCAGTCTACAAAACAAATAGCAAGACTTTGACAACAGCTGCTATATCTGAAAACTTTTAAAAAACAGCGTACTGCTTGTTGTTCCAGTTTTCCATATCAATGACAACTCCATTATAGCTTTATTCTTGGAGAGATCTGCTAAATACTGTTATACCTGATCCTTCACAGGAGTTACGTAGCCTTTCTGTCTCCAGTCCACAGATGGGGGGATCTCAGGGAAAGGAGGTTCTTGGAACAATTTCCCCTTCCAGTGCTTCTGGTTTTGAAGACCATTCATCAATTTCCTAAATTCTTCATTGGTCTTCAATGAAAAGGAAATAGAATGTTGTAAAGGAAGAGATTATTTTGGTAAATCAGTGAGGAGAAGCAGCGCAAAAATGGAAGCATTCCATGCCACACTCACCATGTCACCAAAGGCATTTATTGCCATGGTGAAGCTATGTTTCCCTTGTCTGTGTTCCTGATTGTGCAGTTCAATCATTTTCATATTCTTCTCCCATACCGCTCTCCTCCAGCCTTCTTCATTCTACAGTCAAACATACACTGTATTGTCAAAACCAACTCACCTTCACTAAGAGGATTTGCAGAGAGAGAGAGAGAGAGAGAGAGAGAGAACAGAACCATGGCTAAGGATGGCTTTATAGTTCTGGAAGTTGTTCTCCAGCACCCACACAACAGGGATGCATGCCCTACTGTGCTCAGCAGTGGGTGCCATGAAGTTACTGCCTTGGTAAGAGCTGGCCTCAAGAAGCTACTCTCTGCTGTAAACTCCAAATAGCATGGACCATTCTCTGCGGGGTCCCACTGGACAATTTCAGATGTTATCAACCTCGTTATATAGTTTCCCATGTGTTGCCTTCCACTGGTTCCATTGTGCATCTAAACTGTGATCAAGTTTTGGAGCAGTTGAGACTATTCCCAAGCAAAAGAGAGTCAGGAAGATTGAAGGACTCATGTTTCAAAAACCTAGGAAGAGAAAAGGGATGAGTTTCTGATTAGACTAATCCTTCTAAAAAGCCATCATACTTTCTCATGAGACGTTATAGCCACCATGGTGGAGTAAAAACATTTAATTTACCCTCCTAAGTAATTACAGAAGGACTGTGGAGGCAGGCTAAAGATGTGGGTGGACAGAAACAGCCTCAAGACTCCATTCCGGAGCCCAGACAGGGCCAGGCTCTCCCTGCGTCAGAGAACCAGCTCGCGGCCAGGTAACACAGGCGCTGCAGGCAGAACCCGGCAGAGGGTGTGTCGCTTTTGCTCCCAGCCCTCAGCACAAGCCAGCTGCTTCCAGAGAATGTAGAAGCGGCGCAAAGAGACGCGGCCCCCAAAGCCTCTAGCAGGCGTGGGTCAGGCTGCAAGGTCCGCGCGGTCAGACCTGAGGACATTGACTCTTGTGACCCCTACTCCCCCCCGCCCCGAACCCTCGACCCCCAAGGCTGGCGGCTATCCTAGTTCCCGGAGCGGTCCTGCTGCGCCAGAGCCAAGCTGGGGGCGCTCACCTGCGACGGGAGCAGCTGAGCAAAGACAGTACGTGCGAGTCCAGGGGTCTCAGAGGCCGAGCTGTGGTCCCCCAGCCGCAGGTTTAAGGACCCGGGATTCGGCCAGGTTGGCCCGCCCCGCACCGCCTGCCTGCACCGAGATTGGCTGAGCTGGTCTGTAGGCGGGGCCTTCGGGTGCTGGGACTCCGTGCGCGAGATAGGGCTGGGTTTCAACCTGTCGTACAGCGGGTCTTTCTTGTCTGAGTGGTCCCTGGGGGATGGGGGGTTGGGGGACCCAGGACAGCGCTGAGGAGGGTCCTGCGATTCCCTGGGACCTGGATCAGCTGCTTACCTCAAATTCATACCCTCGATGAGTGGTTCACGAAAAGCTTACGGAGAGCCCCAAAAGTGTTTTAGTGTGAACCTGTCTGTCCTTTAGAGTTTTCGGTTAAATTCTCAAGAGGGTTGAAAACACTATAAGCTAATTTAGTCGTTACTGTTTATTCCACAGGAAATGTGGGGCAGAATAGCATTCAAAGCCCACAGGCAGATGTGCGCTCACTGTTTTGGGAAGAGTTCAGCTGGTTTTTGGAGGAATCTGGAGTGGATGGCAATGCCCAAAACAGGGGCCGTGATGGTCAAGTTCACTGTTTTGGGAAGGGTTCAGCTGGTTTTTGGAGGAATCTGGAGTGGAATGGCAATGCCCAAAACAGGGGCCGTGATGGTCAAGGCCCTAATCCTTGGAAGGAAAGGGGAGGGACTGGGTAGGTTTCCAGAGAAGGCGTGACATTTGTAATACTCATTTCCTGTCTTCCCCAGTCAGGGTTTCTTCTTCCCTCCCAAACCTTTCCCAAAACCGACAGAAATAAGTTATTCACAGAAAAATGTGGTTTCATAAAACGAGGAATGACGCAACGTAGAAACTACTCTTACCTTCCAACTCTCTGCGTCATGGATTATTGTCTTCCTAGTATCCAACGTGCTTTTCTTGAGATTTAATTTAAGAAAGTTGCCTTAATGACTTTTACTTGATTTTTCCTTCAATTTACATTTAATGTCAGAATTTAAATGATAGTTTGTGAAAACGTTTTAAATGAAAGAAAAATATATTTATATATTAATATTAATGTATATAATTAAGAATTAATTAACACAAATAAGAAATATTGTACATTTGTCCTTTATTACAAAAACATTCATTGTTGAAAATACCTTCTAGAAAAAATATTATTATCTTATTTCCCTTCCCACTTCACCTTTTTCTATGTATATTTTGATTTTTTTTTTTTTTTGATAAAAATGTGTGATGTTTCATGTGGTCTTGTAAACTAATTTCTATTTAGGATTAAATTGATAAATCTTTTAAAAACACTATCGGATATATAGTTTTCTTTTTTTACTATGGAGATATGTACATAAGATAAAAGCATGTATTTTAACCATTTTAAGTGTACAGTTAGCAGCATCGAGTCTATTCACATTGCTGTACAGCCATCACCACCATTCTTCTTCAAAATTTTTTTATCTTCCCAGGCTGAAACTCTCTACGTATTATACAACAAGTCTTCATTACTCCCTCCCCTCAGCCCCTGGCGACCACTATTCTATCTTCTCTGTCTATGAATTTGACTACTCTAGCTGCTTTACATTAAGTAAGTAGAATCATGTAATGTTTGTCCATTTGTGCTTGGCTACTTCACTAATATAATATCTTCAAGGTCCATCCATGTTGTGACATGTGTCAGAATTTCCCTTTTTTAAAAGATGAATAATATTTCATTGTGTGAATGTTCGACGTTTTGTTTTTTCAGTCATCCTAGAGGGACAGATGGGTTATTTACACATTCGTTTATTTTGAGTAATGCTGCTATCCACATAGTTGGACAAATGTTTGAGTTCTTGTTTCTGGTTCTTAGGATATATACACAGAAGTGGATTTATTAGATACGGTAATTCTGTGTTTAATTTTTTTCTGTGTTTCCCACAGTGTCTGCATTTTATATTTCTATCACCATTGCACAAAAAGGGTTCCAATTTGATATGATTTACAGATAGATACTCCATCTCTTTCTTGAATTCTGTGAGCTGCCTTTCATTAAGTCGATAGACTCCTTTGATGTACAAAAGTTTTAAATTTTGATAAAGTTTGATTTATCTGTTTTTTTCTTTGGTTGCCTGTTCTTTTGGTGTCATAACCAAAAAAAAAATTATTGCTAAGATCAATATCATTAGGCTATTCCTTTGTGTTTTCATCTAAAGTTTTATGGTTTTAGCTCTTATATTTTGGTCTTTGATTGATTTTGTGTTCCTTATTGCATATGGTGTAAGGTAATGGTCCAACTTTATTCTTTTGCATGTGAATATTCGATTTGCCCAGCATCATTTGTTTGAAAGACCACCCTTTCCCTATTGAAAGGTCCTGGCAACCCCATACAATTTTTAAAAATCAATTCATTAAAATTTTCATTTTAAAGTCTTTGAGGAAATAAAAGCTCTTCTTTCTAACACCAACTAGAGTCTGAAGCTCTTAGGTGGTTACAATTGTATGTTGTGTTGTAAATGAGTGGAAGTTAAAAAAAAATTTTTTAAAAGACATCGTGGAGTTCAGCATAAGCAATCATTCAAGCAACCTAAGTACATATTCTAGTATATAGTTTTACAGTGGCCCTTGGGTTACAGCTCCATCAGATAGCACAGAATGGAAACCTGCTACTGCATGACCAGCTGCATCTTAGCAATAGCCTGACAAGAGGCTGGGTGGCAGGTGCTGTTCCAAAGAATGGCATCCCCTCTGTTTCTTGGAATATGACACAATGCACTGGAGAAAGTGTGGACTCTTTTTATGCCCCAAGTCTAAAATGAGACCAAGACATACCTAAATGCCAGAGAAATATGGGAGACTATTTAAGCAAGAAATTTTAACATTTATTTATACAAAATCTGTTAAAAATAACAGAAAGATGGTATGGCTAGCCATTTTGTTCTTACAGTTCTCTTTCCTTTTTGGGGTCTCAAATTTTTTAAGGGAACGTTTTATGTGTTTCTTTAGAATTGTGAATAAGTGAATCTTATCTTTTTTTAATACCCGAGTTTGTTGTTGAGGCATTGTCATTGGAGCTAGGCTTACAAATGGGGCCTTTAATTATCCTAGGTAAGGTGCAGAGCTTTTGTCTCTGAGAAATGATCAAGCAAGGAAACACTCAGGAGATACAGGGCAAAAAGCTCTCCTGAAAGCTGGTGGGGCGGGAAGATTTGGAAGCCCAGCCCAGAGCAGGTAGCAGCATGCCTTCTGTATGGCTCACATGTCTTTCCTTCCTTTTAGCATGATACCAGGTAAGCCAGCATCGAAGTTGAGAGCTTGGCCCTGAGGAACTTTGGTGCTTTATTTCACAATGACCTCAGCGCTCACATTACACTTCTCCTGGTGTTCTCTGGCACCTAGAATCAGTTTGCAATGTAACTGATGGGGGTTGGGGGTGAGGGACGAGGGCGAAGTCCCCAAAGCTCAACTTCCTTTTCTAAGCCCTGTTAGTCTAAAGCACATTTAAGTTACTTCTTCACGGGAGAGAGGAACCTGGTACCACCCTTGATTTTGTGCACCCCATAACTGTGACCATCCTCATCTGTAAAATGTGCATCCAATAGCACCCATCTCCTAGGGCAGTGGTTCTCAAAGTCCCCCAGTAGCATCAGCCTCTCTTGTGGACTTGTTAGAAACATCCATTCAGGAATCCCACACCAGAACCACTGAACCTGAAACTTGAGGGAAAGAAGTCAACAATCTGTTTCATAAAACCTCCAGGTGATTCTGATATAAACTCAAGTTATAGTGTTGTTGTGAAGAGTAAATGAAGGAGCATGTGTAATATGCCCAGAATAGTGCCTGGTACCTACATGTTATTTAGCTATCAGTATCATCATCATTATTATTACCATCACCATCATCATCATCATCATCATCATCATCATCATCATCATTGGAAGTCTTTCTAATAATTTTCAGTAGTACAAGGTACCCATGGATGGAGATGCCTTTCCTGTGGAATAAACCTGGCACACATATGTGCAAGCTGACTCTTAACAGCAGAAAGGTCTTCTCTTGATCACCTGCCATAATGGTACAGGACTGATTTTTATTTATGCCTTGTTTCTAATATGTAAATTATATCTCAGTTTAAAGAAAAGAGAGAGAAAGCTTGATTGAAATCATTGAACATTCTATGATGTCTCATAACATTGCTGTAGTCTAGTAGAGTTGATCAACAGTTGTCTGACTCTTTACCAAGATAGACTTCTAGGGAAATTGAGGAAAGAGAAAAACAGTTGTAAAGAAATGGCAAAAAGTAGCATGGAGAAAAGATTTGTCTTAACCAAGTGTCTCATCTGGTGATTTCCAAGAGTACCAGCATAATAGAATCATACGGTGTAATATTTTTGCATTTTCCTGTATTGAGCACTCAACAGGCAATAAAATCTTTCTGTAAGTACCATGGGGAATTGCCACCTCAGCATGGATAGTTTGATCATTTTTCCCAGTTGATGAAAAGGGAGAAAATGAAGACTTGTCTGAAATTTCATTTCTGTTTTATCTTTTTGGTTTCCCTTTTGAGTTGCATAAGCAGTGAAAATCATTTATACTTTTTATTCTTCCTGTTTATTATTTTGATTGAAGTAGTAGAGAGCATTGATAAATAATCATGTTTTGCTGGAAATGGTTAACTTTGATTACCAAAATTACAGAATATCCCAAAGCTTCCATTTAAAAGCTTTTCTATGTTACTGGCATGTCTGCAATAAAAGTCAGTGGAAAGATGACAAACCAATAAAAACAACAATTTTCATACCCCTTGATTTCATGATTTTACCATAAAGTTGTACCAGTTTTTAAATGTAGATAATTCCAATCTCATGTTTGGTGGGATAAACTTTGGGCAGTTACCCTACTCAAGCCTTGGTTTTGCTCATTATAAATATGGATAATATCAGTGCCCTCATAAGGTTGTGTTAACAACTGAGGCAATACTTGTATTGGTATAACCAACCATCTTCAGAATTTCTTTCTTGTAAAAGGACATGTCCTTGAGAAATGACATTCAATCCAAATACACACTACCACTCCAATGACTCCTGT